AATCTAAAACAGTGTAAGGGAGGTAATCCAAATACAACGTTTTGGTTACTTCCCTTACACTGCTTTTAAATTATGTTTAAAGAAATGCATATTTATAAAGGAAGACCAGTAAAAATATCTGCAAATGTTTTCATCTTTTTTTTTTACAAAAAAATCCATATGAAAGATTTGACACTATATTTTTATTAATTCTATTATAAAATAGATTAAGTTAGCACTATGGTAAATTTAAATGGGTAATTATGGTTCCCAACTCCATTGGAAATTTGAATAGAGATTATGACCATATCTTGAGGGAAAGAATTTTTTTGGGGGAAAAAGGGGGGGGGGAATAAAAAGAAATTGTGGGGGGCCAATTTTTTCTCATTTCAGATTTCAGAAATTAAAAAGAATTATTCTTCAAATATTATTTTTTTTCAAATTTCAAATATTGAAAAATTTCAAGAAGTAATCTTTAATTGCACAGTATGGCACATTAGATTTGTAAAATCTTTGATCACATTTATTTATTTGTTATGCCGAATCTAACAGTGTATTTAGATTTTTAATTTTGGGTCCAGTTTTCAAATTGGTCTACATTAATGTCCAAAGGGTCCAAAATTAAACTTTGTTTGATTTTAGCAAAAATTGAATATATGAGGTTCTTTGATATGCTGAATCTAAACATGTATTTAGATTTTTGATTTTTGGCCCAGTTTTCAAGTTGGTCCAAATTGGGGTCCAAAATTAAACTTTGTTTGATTTCAACAAAAATTGAATATATGGGGTTCTTTGATATGCTGAATCTAACCATGTATTTAGATTTTTTATTTGTAGGCCCCGCTATCAAATTGGTTCATATTGAGGTCAAAAGGGTCCAAAATTAAACTTTGTTTGATTTCATCTAAAATTGAATTATTGGGGTTCTTTGATATTCCAAATCTAACTGTGTATTTAGGTTTTTATACGACCGCAAAAAAATTTTGAGGTCGTACATTGGTATGATGTTGGCGTCGTCGTCGTCGTCGTCGTCCGAATACACAATGGTTTTCGCACTCTAACTTTAGTTTAAGTGAATGGATCTCTATGAAATTTTACCATAAGGTTCAATACCACAATAGGAAGGTGGGGATTGATTTTGGGGGTTATGGTACCAACAGTTAAGGAATTAGGGGCCAAAAAGGGGCCGAAAATAAGCATTTTTGTAACTTCCAGACATAACTTGTGTGTTAGCATATGGATCTCTTTGACATTGTACCACAAGATTCCATATCACAAAGGGTCAATGCTGGGATTGATTTTGGGGTTAATTGCCTCAAAATTTTAGAAATAAGGGGCCAAAAGGGGGCAAAAAACAAGCATTTTTCATGTTTCATGACAATAACTTGTGTGTAAGTGTATGGATCTTTCTGAAATTTTACTACAAGGTTCCATTTCACAAAGGGAAAGCTGGAATTGAGTGTTGTGGTAATTGCCCAAAACGTTTAGTAATAAGGGGCCTAAAAAGGGGTTTAAAATAAGCATTTTTTAGTTTCTAGACAATAACTTGTGTTCAAGTGTATGGATCTCTCTAAAATTGTATTACAAGGTACCATACCACAAAGGCAAGGCTGTTATTGAGCTTGGTTTGGGGGGAAAGGGGGGTGGGGGTGATGAATCATAAGGGGGGCGGGGGTCAAAAAAGGGGTAATTTTTTTTTTTCCTTTTTTTTTTGTTTAAAATTTACATTTTAAGTTAGTTATTTTTTATCACGAAGAGAAAGTAGGAATTGAGTTTTGGGGTTAATTGCTCAAACATTTATGAATAAGGGGCCAAATATTGGTCAAAAATAAGGATTTTTTTAGTTTGCAACAAAAACTTGTGTTCAAGTGTATGGATCTCTGTGAAATTGTATTGCAATGTACCATACCACAAATTGAAGGTTGTGATTGAGGTGGGGGATGATGAATCAAAAGGGGGTTGAAAAAATGTGTGGGAGGTAGGATTTTTTTTTCTCCTTTTTTTTTCTTTAAAATTTTCCATTTAAAGATGGTTGTTTCAGATTTATATATGAAAGAAAATAATAATGATACGGTTATATATCATGAGGAATTGAAATTTAAAATTATGTATATTGGAAATTTAAGTTACATTGGAAAGTAATAATTGGCTTTTGGGGGAGGGGGGTGGTTATGGCTCTAATGTTTAAGGAATAAGGGGAAAAAAGGTTAAAAAACAAGGGTTTCCATTTTAATAGACAAATAATTGAGTAAAGAACATTATTTAAAAGCAGTGTAAGGTTGGTAATTCAAACTCATTTAAATATCTCATCTACACTGCTTTTAAATTATGTAAATTGGAAATTTGCCGATAACTTTATTGTTAATAAATGCATTGGAAATTTGCCAACAATTTTAGTGTAATAAACTTCATTGGAAATTTGCCAATATAAAATTTTGCTGATGAAGGTTTTTTGTTTACCTTTAGCCTTGACTATGAAGTCATTTTCTATTTTTATAGCCTTATGATGTAGTTGAATTATTTAATACTTTTATGATGTGTTTAAATGGGGTTTTATCATGTTTATGGTTGCAAATTTATTGTTTTAGTATAATAAACTCCATTTAAAATTTGCCAATAAAAAAAATTTTTGTTTATTTTTAGCTATGATTATGATGTCATTTTCTATTTTACTTTTATGGTTGCAAAGAAATTTTTATTTTTAGATATTACTGTTAAATGATGCTGATTAAGGTTTTTGCTATGTTTAGCCATGACTATGATGTCATTTTCTATTTTAATATCTGTTATGATGTATTTAAATGGGCTTTTATGGTTACAAAGGAATTTTATTTTTAGATATTACTATAAAATGTTGCTGATGCTGATTAAGGATTTTGTTTATTTTTAGCCATGACTATGATGTCATTTTCTATTTTAATACCTTTATGATGTAATTTCCATTTTTAGATATTACTGTTAAATGATGCTGATTAAGGGTTTTTAGCTATGTTTAGCCATGACTATGATGTCATTTTCTATTTTAATATCTTTATGATGTATTTAAATGGGCTTTTATGGTTACAAAGGAATTTTATTTTTAGATATTACTTTAAATGTTGCTGATTAAGGATTTTTGTTGTCGAGCCTGCGACTTTTGTCGCAGAAATCTCGACATAGGGATAGCGATGCGGCGGCGGCTACGGCGGCGGCGGCGGCGGCGGCGGCGTTAGCTAACTTCTTAAAAGCTTTATATTTTAGAAGATGGAAGACCTGGATGCTTCATACTTTGTATATGGATGCCTCATGTTACGAAGTTTCCGTCAGTCACATGTCCAATGTCCTTGACCTCATTTTCATGGTTCAGTGACTACTTGAAAAAAAAGTTCAGATTTTTTGTAATGTTAAATTCTCTCTTATTATAAGTAATAGGATAACTATATTTGGTATGTGCGTACCTTGCAAGGTCCTCATGCCCGTCAGACAGTTTTCACTTGACCTCGACCTCATTTCATGGATCAGTGAACACTTAGGTTAAGTTTTCGTGGTCAAGTCCATATCTCAGATACTATAAGCAATAGGTCTAGTATATTCGGTGTATGGAAGGACTGTAAGGTGTACATGTCCAACTGGCAGGTGTCATCTGACCTTGACCTCATTTTCATGGTTCAGTGGTTATAGTTAAGTTTTTGTGTTTTGGTCTGTTTTTCTTATACTGTATGCAATAGGTCTACTATATTTGGTGTATGGAATGATTGTAAGGTGTACATGTCTAGCTGGCAGGTGTCATCTGACCTTGACCTCATTTTCATGGTTCAGTGGTCAAAGTTAAGTTTTTGAGTTTTGGTCTTTCTTTCTAATACTGCATGCAATAGGTCAGCTATATTTGGTGTATGGAATGATTGTAAGGTGTACATGTCTAGCTGGCAGGTGTCATCTTACCTTGACCTCATTTTCATGGTTCAGTGGTCAAAGTTAAGTTTTTGAGTTTTGGTCTTTTTTTCTAGTACTATATGCAATAGTTTAACTATATTTGGTGTATGGAAATATTTTATGATCTATATGTCAGTCACGCAGGTTTTATTTGACCTTGACCTCATTTTCAAGGTTCATTGCTCAGTGTTAAGTTTTTGTGTTTTCGTCTGTTTTTCTTAAACTATAAGCAATAGGTCAACTATATTTGTTGTATGGAAGAATTGTTAGCTGTACATGCCTGCCTAGCATGGTTCATCTGACCTTGACCTCATTTTCATGGTTCATTGGTCAATGTTTAGTTTACTTGGTTAATGTTAAGTTTATGTGACAGTTGTAATAAAGCTTTATATTTAGGACTATCAACATAATATCAATGATTAGTAAAGAAGGCGAGACATTTCAGCGTGTGCACTCTTGTTTATTTTTAGCCATGACTATGATGTCACTTTCTATTTTAATACCTTTATGATGTATTTAAATGGGCTCCCATGTATTTAGATTTTTGATTATTTATACATGTTACCAAATTGGTCCACATTGAACAAAAATGGTCCAAATTTCAACTTTATTACATTACATCAAACATTGAATTCTACATATTCTTTGATATATTGAAATTAACAAACAATTTAGTTTATGGATATTCCACCATAATAGGTAAATTAAATTTTTTCCAGTTCTTACACCACATTCATCCTGTGTCAGAAACCTATACTGTGTCAAATATTTAATGACAATCCAAAGTCATAGCTGTATCAAGCTTGAATTTTGTGTCCATACTTGCCCCAACTGTTCAGGGTTCGACCTCTGCGGTCGTATTAAGCTGCGCCCCAGCGAAGCATTTTATTCACCACTATGCTCCTGAATATGTTTTATCGATTAGGATAAATAACTCAAAGCTACTTAAGGGTTGAGAAAGCATGGGTTTGACATAAATTGGGTTTTCATTTGCATGGAATGCCGAAATAGACAAATGGATTGGTTTATTTTTATTGTTTTTATAGCATAATCACTCTACATGGCTTATCTGGAGATCTGATTGTAAACCAATACCATATCTTTTACAGGTACAGATCAAGATTCTATACGAACTAGTTATAAACGTTTGGCAACAAAATGGCATCCAGACAAAAATATTAATAACCCTCAAGCACAAAAAGTAAGTTTTGTTATAAAGACTTGACTGTTTATTTCATTCAATTAATTAAGATCTAGACCTGAAGCTAGTGTTGAAGTTTTTTTTCATTCAGTCAGTAAGGTCTGTACTTTGGAGACTTAATAATTGGTATTAATACATGGTAATGGGCTAAAATTACCATTTGTCAATGTTGAATTGCCTGTAGGGAATTCATTTTAACATGAGATCATCTTATTATTGATTTTATATGTAGAGCCTGAAAAGCAAGACATAGCGATCCTACATTCCGTCGTCAGCGGCTTCCTCAAATATTCACTCTGTGGTTAAAGTTTTTCAAATTTTAATAACTTTCTTAAACTATTGATTTGTACCATACTTGGACAGAAGCTTGTTTATGATCATAAGATAGTATTCAAAAGTAAATTTTGTTAAAAAAAATACTTATAAATGGACTACCAGTTAACATTACATTCACTCTGTGGTTAAAGTTTTCAAAATTTTAATTACTTTCTTAAACTATCCTGGATTTGTACCAAACTTGAACAGAAGCTTGTTTATGATCAAAAGCTAGTATCTAGAAGGACATTTTGTAAAAAAAATTTCTTGTTTTTCCATATATTACTTATAAATGGACTTAGTTTTTCTTCCAGTTAACATTACATACAGTCTACAGTTAAAGTTTTTAAAACATTTAATAGATTCATAAACCATCCTGGATTCTTACCAAACTTGAACAGAAGCTTCTTACAATCAAAAGATAGTATCTAGAGGAAAATTTTTAATAATTATTTCCCCATTTTTGTTGAGCCTGCGACTAAAAGCAAAAGTAGGCGAGACACTGGGTTCCGTGGAACCCTTACAAATTTTATTATTGTATGTCATGTCCTGGGTGCATTCATGCATCAGGATTTGATCAAATCTGTAATTCTAAAATAAAAATCTGTGTCAATCCTTATGCATCACTTTTATGAATGAAGTTACTACAATTTTGCAACTGTTTTTGGTAGATGAGTAGGATTCTTTGGTATTTTTTTTTTCGTGGCTTTTTGAAGTTTAAATAGAATATTGATTTACATATATAATGCATGCAAACGAGAAGTAGTGTTTCTTATAAAAAAATTTCTATCTTGCAGAAATTTCAGCTAATAAGTACTGCTTATAGAAGATTAACTACAAATGATGAACGTCTTCAAAATTTAAATAAGGTAATTAGGTTTCTATTTATCATATTACAGTACTACTTTAATAGTGGTTGAAGCTGATAAGAACATTGCTGAGTTACTTCAGGTTATACAGTTGTTCATGGTATATGTGCAACATATACATGTAAAGTTACTGTCAAAGTAGTCATTTTAATATAGAACTGATTTGTGCTTTTTTGGCATTACCAACATATAGTAGAAAAATAGTACAGTTGATAAGCATCATGCATTTCATATCATTAAACAATGAATGTTAAACACCCATGCAGTGTTTCCACAACATATTTCATATAGCATCCTATCACATTTGTAAACACGGAATATTGAAATACCATCTTGTTTGTACAAATTATAGCATCACATCCATAAAACATTCTATATGAAAATCATTTCAAATAGCTTCACATTACCATAGTGCTAAAAGGCCATGGGGGAGAACACTGCTTGGCATACATATGTGTCATCTATTAAACTGATATACAGGCATAATTTGCTAGTCCAAATTGTTTGTCGATATCAAATATGGGATGAATGGTGTGTTTTTGTGAGAGAAAAATAACAAACAAAACTTGTATAAAATTCACACCATGATATAATGGTTACTTATTTAATGTAAAATGACGCCTTTCAATTACTAAGGTAGAGGGTCTATAAGCAATTTTAAAATGATTTCATTGTAAAGAAGTTTTAAATTTTGGTATGCTGATGGCTTAAATATACAGACATTCAAATATGCCATCAGAAAAAGGGAAAATCTTTGGGGTGCCTAGGATTGAATTTTCACCAACTATTTCTGTGTGTTTTTTTTTTTGTAGAAAGATTAGGAACAGCTATTAACAATAAATTTTACTGTTTCAGGAACAGTCATTAACATTATTTAAAGAAGTTTTATTTACAAAATCTATGAGTAAGTATACAGTAAACACTATTATAGTTTTTTACGACCGCAAAAAATTTGGCAGTCGTATATTGGCATCACGTAGTCATCGTCCGAAGACATTTGGTTTCCGGACAATAACTTTAGTAAATGTAGAGAGAAATCTATGAAATTTAAACACAAGGTTTATAACCACAAATGGAAGGTTGGGATTGATTTTGGGGATTACAGTCCTAACAGTTTAGGAATTAGGGGCCAAAAAGGGGCCCAAATAAGCATTTTTATACGATCGTATATTGGTATGACGTTGGCATCGTCGTCGTCGTCCGAAGACACATTGGTTTTCGCACTCTAACTTTAGTTTAAGTGAATGGATCTCTATGAAATTTTACCATAAGGTTCAATACCACAAAAAGAAGGTTGGGATTGATTTTGGGGGTTATGGTACCAACAGTTGAGGAATTAGGGACCAAAAAGGGGCCAAAAATAAGCATTTTTGTAACTTCCAGACATATCTTGTGTGTTAGTGTATGGATCTCTCTGACATTGTACCACAAGGTTCCATATCACAAAGGGAATGCTCGGATTGATTTTGGGGGTAATTGCCTCAAAATATTAGGAATTAGGGGCAAAAAACAAGCATTTTTCTAGTTTCATGATAATAACTTGTGTGTAAGTGTATGGATCTTTCTGAAATTGTACTACAAGGTTCCATATCACAAAGGGAAAGCTGGAATTGAGTTTGGGGGTAATTGCCCAAAATGTTTAGGAATTAGAGGCCAAAAAGGGGCCAAAAATAAGCATTTTTCTAGTTTCCAGACAATTACTTGTGTTCAAGTGTATGGATCTCTCTGAAATTGTACTACAAGGTACCATACCACAAAGGGAAGGCTGGGATTGATTTTGGGGGTAATTGCCTCAAAATTTTAGGAATTAGGGGCCAAAAGGGGAAAAAAACAAGCATTTTTCTAGTTTCAGGACAATAACTTGTGTGTCAGTGTATGGATCTTTATGTAATTGTACTACAAGGTTCCATATCATAAAGGAAAAGCTGGGTTTGAGTTTGGGGGTAGTTGCCCTAAATGTTTAGAAATTTGGGGCCAAAAAGGGGCCTAAAAACAAGCATTTTTCTAGTTTCCAGACAATTACTTGTGTTCAAGTGTATGGATCTCTCTGAAATTGTACTGCAAGGTACCGTACCACAAAGGGAAGGCTGGGATTTGTTTGGGGGTGATGAATCATAAGGGGGTTAAAAAAATTAAGGGGAGGGATTTTTTTTTCTTTAAAATTTTCCTTTTCAAATTGGTTATTTCTGATTTATATATAAAAGCAAATAATAATGATATGGTTTGAATAGATAAATTTAAAAATTTTAAGTTCTTAGACCACATTCATTCTGTGTCAGAAACCTATACTGTGTCAAATATTTAATCACAATCCAAATTCAGTGCTGTATCAGGCTTGAAAGTTGTGTCCATACTTGCCCCAACTGTTCAGGGTTCGACCTCTGCAGTCGTATCAAGCTGCGCCCAGCGAAGCATTTTATTCTAGTTTCAAGAAAATAACTTATGGAACGGTGTATGGATCTCTCTGAAATTATACCACAAATAAGGATTGGCTTTGGGGGTTATGGCTCAAACCATTCAGGAATTAGGGGTAAAAACAAGGGTTTCCTTGTTAATGGACAATTTAAAAGCAGTGTAAGGGAGGTAATCCAAACACATTTAAAGTACAATGTTGTGTATGTTTGGATTTACCTCCCTTACACTTCTTTTAAATTATGTATGTAAAGAAATGTTGTATTGTCTTGAGGTGATTAGCTGTCAATTTATTTTTAGAAGTTACTATTAAAGGAATATTAATTTTAGCCATGATTATGTATGTCATTTTCTATTTTAAGAGGGGGGGGGGGGGTCAATATTCAACAGCATAGTGTATTGCACAAAAGCAAAAAATTGAATATAAATTCAAATCATATAACCAATTCTAAGTTCTTTGACTACAGTTATTCTGTGTCAAAAACCTATTATGTGTCAAATATTGAATTACAATCCAAATTCGGACCTGTATCAAGCGCGAATATTGTGTCCATTTTTGTCCCAACTGTTCAGGGTTGGACCTCTGCGGTCGTATCCAGCTGCGCTCAGCCAGGGCTCGACAATAACGCTTGTCTGATTGTCCGGTACCAGAGGAAAAAAAGGTCGGACAAGTAAAAGCCATATCAAGCTTGTCCGATGGGACAAGTAAAATCATTCTGTGGAAAATAAATTAAATCCAACTTTGATGATCAAAGTAATAAACAAAAAACAAGAAAAGAAGAGAACTACAAATGTTAATTTGACATGTTTACTTGCGATCGATAATTCAAAACTGGTTCTTTGTCAGATACTTTATAACAGATAAAACGCATACTATTCTTGGAAACCAGTCTTACAGCTTGGAAGATAAGGTAACAAGACAGTTCGACATGCCAATGGCACAAAACAAAACAATCGGCTCCATGTTTAATAGACAGTTCGGCACCGTAGGAGACATTTCGGGACCAAGACAAACCAGTACCTTGTTTCTCCTACCTTCTTCTGTTGCTTGATAATAAATATAATAAATATTATTTAACAAAAATATTTTTTAAAAAAATGAATTTTATTTAACAAAAATATTTTTAAAAAAAAATAATTTTATTTAACAAAAATATTTATAAAAAAAAAAAAAAAATTATTTAACAAAAATATTTAAAAAAAAAAGTAGAAATTATTGACCATAAAATTTGTAAAATCATATTTGATCTTATGTAGACCAAACAATTTTTTATTGCATTTGAATAAACATTTTAATATACATGATATATTAAAAACAAAGCTGATTGTAGTAAGACATTAATCATAATAATCAATATTTTATCAACATAAAAGACCAGGATACAAATCAAATGGGTGTAGACTTACAGGCAGGCCAGACTGTGACTCATGTGCAGAGTCTGATGAGACTTTGGCATTGATGAAAACTATAACTTAAGTCGGATTAGTCCTGTGACATGACTAGATTAAATTGTTCTCCACTAATATTTCTAAAAGGATATTAAATTCTTTTCTATTGTTTTAATTCATTTTGTTCATTGAATCAACTTAAAATCCAAAAAGGTTAATATTTAGATTTTTTTTTTGGACAAGTTACAATTCCATTCGGACAAGTAGTAGGTTTTGGTATGTACTTGTCCTATTGGGCAAGTTGAAAACAAGTTTGAATTTTTATGGTGTCACTTTTACTGTTCTAGAGTTATGCCCCTTTACAACCAGAAAATTGCTGAATTTTTCATTTCCATTCTCTAAATTAAGTTTGCCTCAACCAAATGTTATGAAACTTATACACAATACTTATTACCACAAAACTCAGATCAAGTACAAATTTGGGTAGTGTCACTTTTACCGTTCTTCAGTTATGTCTCTTTATAACTTTATATGATATGCAAGCGGGGGCATCATCTGTGTCCCATGGACACATTCCCCATTTATTTTAAATGATGTAACCTTAATCAGATATATATTTTTTTTAGTCTTAAAGTACAAACAAGGCTTTATACAATCTTTGATTATATATCATAAATATTTATACAGTCATTACAATTTGACTAAACATAGCATAGTTGCAGTGTAAAACTAAACATATTGTTTTATACATGTTTTGTTTTGTCTTCAAGAATTTTTTATTAATATTTAGATATACTAAACATAAATCATAGAATTCTTTTTTTCAGTAGTTTAACTTTTTATTTTTTTTGTATTGTAAAATATTAAAAATTATATGTTTTCAGATTTTCATAATGGTTCAACATATGATTCATCAGATGATGATGATGACGACGATGATGATGATGACAACGATAATGATGAATTTGACGATGAAAGATATGCCAGCTTATTTCCTGATAGATTTAAATTAAAACAAGATTTGAAAAAAGCTAAAGCAGGTAATGGTTTCTATGATATACATAAAGATATATATATATAAAAGAAGTTAAAATATGATTTACAAAAGGTGATTAAGAGGCTCCCAAATATGTTTCCATTTTGTTGTAAGTCTAACAAATCTTCAGACTTTCCTCATATGAAATCAAAGGAGAAAAATGATTTGAGGGATTTCATTGTTTTTATGCCCCTGCCGTAGCGGAGGGGGCATTAAGTTTTACCCTTGTCCGTCTGTATGTACGTACATACATACGTCCCAAAATTATTTTCCGTTCTCTAACTTGAGTTTGCCTCAACCAAATGTTATGAAACTTATACACAATGCTAATTACCACAAAACACAGATTAAGTTTGAATTTTGGTGGCGTCACTTTAACCGTTCTAGAGTTATGTCCTTTATAAATGGAAAAATTGCTGAATTTTTCGTTTCCATTCTCTAACTTAAGTTTGCCTCAACCAAATGTAATGAAACTTATACACAATGCTTATTACCACAAAACACAAATCAACTTTGAATTTTGGTGGCGTCACTTTAACCGTTCTTCAGTTATGCCCCTTTATAAATCGAAAAATTGCAAAATTTTTAGTTACCGTTCTGTAACTTAAGTTTGCCCCAACCAAACATGAAACCTATACACAATACTTATTACCTTAAAACTCAGATCAAGTACAAATTTGGGTAGCGTTACTTTTATCGTTCTTGAGTTATGTCCCTTTATAATGTTGTATGCAAGCTGGGGCATCATCTGTGTCCATGGGGACACATTCTCCATTTATTTTTTATTAATTTGAATAAAAAAATCTGTCTTTTTGTATAGCTGTTCCTGTGTTAGTCATGAGGACAACTGAAGTTGTGCAGAGTATTTATTCAAGTAAAAAAATGGTTTTTAACCTAGAAAATATTTGTAAATTAAAGTTTCAGATTGTTGATTTATTGTTAATTGTGTTGTTCTAAATAATTTATGTTTCTGTTTATAGGTACAATTAACAGTAATAAACATTTATCTGTAGAAGTAAGTATATTAAATCATTATAAGGCCTCATCTATTTTAATTTAAGTTCTTTGAATTGTAGGAAGACAAAAAGAGTGATGAGAGTCCAAATTTTTATTATCTTCTAAAATTAAATATGAAATTGTGCATGATTTATAAAAGTAAACAAATTCATACATTAAACTGTCAAAAGGGAGGATAATTCTGAAAATCTAACGGTCTTGTTTCCATCACATTACCTATTTGCAAAAAAAAAAGGATGATGAGTATTCGGTCACTTAAAAAGAAATTGGGCAGTTTGCAGTTCAGTAAGTAGAATATTTTTAATTCCGTGCATATGACACATGTTTCTGTAATAACCATCATAAGGTACACCTGTGGCCAAAAACTTGGAAAGCAAATAATATAACATCTAGGTAGCATAAAAAGCCTATACTGAACAACCCAAACTGTCTATGGTCATCTTTGTCTGATGGAGTTGCCATCTTAGTTTTATCACAATTACAAACTTTTATGAGTTGGAAATTTAAAGACAAAATGTATCATTTAAGTGATGCCAATACTTTATATAAGGATTTGAGGTGTTAGAAGAATTTAATTGAATGGAATGAAATAATTGTATACTGTCTGTATATTTAAACTGTAGTCCCTTGGTTTCTCTCCAGAATTGTTTCACATTATGATATCTGGAAGCCTTTTATAGCTTGCTATAAGGTGTTGGTTTTGGTTATTGTTGAAGGTGCTAGAGTGACCTGTAGTTGTGTACAGTCGTGTGAATTGGTCTTTGGTGGATAGTGGTCTCATTGGCATTCACACCATGTCTCTTTATTTTTAATGTTTTGATAGAAAAGTAAGATGTCTTTTTACATGCAGTACAGCAACAAATCCTACCAATCATTCATGAAGTTGATTTCATTTCCAGCAAATAAATAAAAATGCAGAAGAATTAATAACTGAAGAAGAAAAAGAAAAAAGAAGAGCAGAAAAACGTAGAGCTAAGAAAAAGGTATGTACCTTATAACTCTTTGTTTTTGCATTAGTTTGATGTAAGCTAGGTTTCTAAAAAAAATTGATAACACTATAACATGATGAAAAAGTTTTCATTGAAGTATATTCTCTCAGTGTCTTGCTAAATTTGAAAAAGATCTGGAATATTTTTACTAAATTGTATTTAGTCTACATACTGTGGTGAATAAATTCATATATAAAACAGGTAATATGTGCCGGTATGGGGATATTGCAGCTCTTTGTTTTAAATTTTGGGCTCATTTTTGTTTCAGAAATTAAAACAACATATTTAGAATAATCCAATTTAAGATTTTTATCCAAAGTATTGGCTAAAAAAACACATGTCATCTATCGTCATATATATGTAGTATTAGAATATATTCCTAGTCTGATACATATCTAATATAATATAAACATGTTCGTTTACTTTAAAACAACTTATTAGATTTTATTTTATTGCAGAGAAGAAGAGAGAAAAAGAAACAAGAAAAAGTGGTTTGTTTCATGATATTTTACATATTAAAATAGTCTTGACGAAGTTTTAAAGTTTGAAAGCCCTATCTGCAAAAGTTGAATAGAAAGTATTGTATATCAATCAATAGAACATCAGAGGCTTTGTGCTCAGCTATCTGGTCACATTTTCTTGTGCCGATTATTCTGCAAATCACCAATATGAAAGAAATTCAAACCTCGCTACTGTTACTTGAAAAAAATATGACAATATGCATTTCATGTCAGAAGGTAATAGTTTCTCCGTTACTTGACAAAGATTTACGTTCACTACAGATATTCTCTTTCTTTTCCAAATAAAACTAACTGCTATGAAATAGTATGAATGTATTATAACCAGGCTGGTAAATTAATAGAATGAGCAGTCTTGTCTTCATATGTTTTATCTATACATTTTGTCACTCATTTTACTATGCAAATACAAATAAACACATGATACTTTTATACATATATATATATATACACACACGACTAAACATGTGACAACTTTATGACAGACATTCTCCATCGGATAACATGTGGTTATACAGGGCTAACACCATATATATAATTCGTCTTAAATTTAGCCCAATGTTAGATCAAATTTGTGTTAGCAAATTTTTGTCCTCCCCCCAGCCGGATTTGAACCCTTGCTTCTGTGACATCGTGGCAACACCGCCTGCACCATATATATCACACACATCCTGGTTCTATTAAGAACGTAAAGTGGATATTTGAATTACAGATTATGTCAAAGTTAACTTTATGACATCTTCATAATCTTTCTTTAAGCAATGACAATAGTCTAGATTGGTAAAATATTTAATCATCCGTTTTAAACAGTAGCATCATAATAAAAGTTCTTTAGCGGAAAATATGACATATGCTTGTTTTGTCTATGAAAGAAATTTTTATGCCCCCGCGGAGGGGGCATTAAGTTTTACCCTTGTCAGTCTGTACGTACATACGTCCCAAGTTGATTTCCGTTCTCTAACTTTAGTTTGCCTCAACCAAATGTTATGAAACTTATACACAATGCTTATTACCACAAAACACAGATCTAGTTTGAATTTTGGTTGCGTCACTTAAACCGTTCTAGAGTTATGCGCCCCTTTACAAATGGAAAAATTGCTGAATTTTTCGTTTCCGTTCTTAAACTTTAGTTTGCCTCAACCAAATGTTATGAAACTTATGCACAATGCTTATTTCCACAAAATACAGATCAAGTTTGAATTTTGGTGGTGTCACTTTAACCGTTCTAGAGTAATGCCCCTTTACAAATGGAAAAATTGCTGAATTTTTCGTTTCCGTCCTCTAACATTATTTCCTATTTCAAAAGCCCAAATAATACAATGTTACATTCCCACAAGGGGCATATATTGTATATTAAGTTACATGAAAAATAGCTTAAAAGTGATGTTTTAAGAATGTCAGGAAGGACATAATGAATTTATTACACAACAAATACATTACTGTACTGATCTGTGGACTATTTTGATGATTGAAATCAACAAACCCGCACCAGGATCTACACTGAACCATCCTATAAAGTTGATTAAAAAAATACTTTTAATATTTATTTTATTTTGTATATAATTTTCAGGATGATAAACCAGTAGAAAATACTCAGAAAACAAAAGTAAAGGATTCTATAGAAATTCCTGAAAAACCTAATAAACCTAAAAAAGTAGAAAAAAAGTAAGTTTATTTTTATATGCTAGATATGGTCTATATCTTTTTGCTTTTCTTAACTTGTGCTGTGCGGATCCTATTTTGGCTGTTGTCATGTGGTGGTTATCTGCAAGGAAAGGGGATGTTCAATCTTGGCAGAGTGCCTCAGCATGATTAAGAACTTTTGGTGACCTGCTGCAAGGCAGTATTTCTGCCCCTACCCAATTTGTCTTCATTTCCTACTTGCTGTCATAATTTCTTGCAAGTCCTCATTGTTCATCTGCTTTATAGAACTTACATAATTGATATATTTTACATTTGATTCATGTCTAGAATATGCTTGAAAAATTTAACACTTGACTTAAAGCAAACCACAGTCAATTGTTGAATCCATGAAATGGCACCTCATATGTAGGTTAAATGTAAAAAAATCTTTTCTGAACTGTTTTGGATCCTTTATCAACTTTAATGACAGCTATTACAAAAAATGGAAAATGAAAAAAAAATCAATATTAATTCCTAAACTCCTTTATTAATGAGCTAGCTACAATCAAAAGTTGTGTTTCTGAAATTAAACTCTTAGAAATATATGCAGTAATACTGTCTTTCAACCAAGTTACTAAAAAATCAACAACAAAAAATCAAGTCCCTTTTGGAAAAACACTTTATTCAGCCATTTCATACAATAAATGTTTTGCAGGTGGGAATTGTACTATTACACACTGATTGGCATCACTTGTAAACATATGTCAATAAATGGAAGTTTTTCCCAGGTGATCAATTCAGGTATTTAGTTGTACAGTTTTGCAGTAATGTATTTTACATTTTATTAGCTTATCTTCCAACGAAACATATTTGAACCACACAGATTTATATGTGATAATTTATTTTCATGAATTGTCATGAATTGAAAAATGACTGGTGACAAATTTGCATAAATATAACATGTATATAATTATAGTAACTTACATGTGCATATGATTAATTTTTTATTTTTCAGAGAATCTGATTCATCATCTGATGGAGCGGTATGTATCCATCATATCAAACATTAGTTTAGACATTAGATATTTTGCTACACCATAGCTCATGCATCAATTAATTTTTCAAGTGCAGTAGATCCCTTCCCTTGAAATAGACGGGATGTTAAGTGAGGTTGGACAGGAAGAAATTGACCGCCATAATCTTCTCACAACCATAATTTTTAAAGTAATTTTGCATACATCAAGTAGACATAAATACTTAATTGACTGATGCTGACATCCAATATAAAACTTCCATTCCATCCCGCATACTTTGATTTTAATTGAACAGCCCTAACTGGGATGTGCTTATGTTCAGATATTGATACATATTTATCTGTTAGTCTACATCTAATCCAGTGAATTGCCTTCCATGAAACTTCTGACATTTGTTTAATGTTTAAAATATCATGTTTCTCAACAGCTGTGATATCTTTTGCTTATCTCTCAACAGCTGTCATATCTTTTGCTTATCTCTCAACAGCTGTCATATCTTTTGTTTATCTCTCAACAGCTGTCATATCTTTTGCTTATCTCTCAACAGCTGTCATATCTTTTGCTTATCCCTCAACAGCTGTCATATCTTTTGCTTATCTCTCAACAGCTGTCATATCTTTTGCTTATCTCTCAACAGCTGTCATATCTTTTGCTTATCTCTCAACAGCAGTCATATCTTTTGCTTATCTCTCAACAGCTGTCATGTCTTTTGCTTATCTCTCAACAGCTGTCATATCTTTTGCTTATCTCTCAACAGCTGTCATATCTTTTGCTTATCTCTCAACAGCTGTCATATCTTTTGTTTATCTCTCAACAGCTGTTATATCTTTTGTTTATCTCTCAACAGCTGTCATATCTTTTGCTTATCTCGATATGATAGGCATAAAAACACACAGATTTATCATAAATAATCCTCTGACATTTGTTCTTGGTATATTTTTAGTTAACAGTGCCAGTTGCCCTTTGCATTTAAATAGCTGTCAATTATCATGATTATATTTAATAAGAACCTTTTAAAGTAGAATGATGATAAGAACCTTTTAAAGAAGATTGATAGAGTTGAATTTATTAAAATCTGACAATTATCTTTAAGTTTGAATATCCCTTTGATATCCTCCACCACTCTCTTATTAACAAACAATCATAAAGGTAGATTAACAGAAACTAAACAATTACAATTTTTTCTTTCTTTCAGGATTTTGATCCTAATTCTGCATTTTTTACAAAAGTTAAAAATAAAAAGAAAAACAAAATGTCATCTGTAGATGTAAAAGATAGACGAGGACAGGGAGGTAACTCAGATGATGAACCTGATGACCTTGACCCTGTTGTTTTACGAAGTCGTCAGTTAGCTAGTAAGTAATCAGAACAAAAGTGTTTCCAATTGGTTTTACATGATATGCATTTTCTTTAAGTTTTAAGGTAGTTTCACTGAAACACATTATTACATTGGTTTGAAATTGAAAACAAGTCTTTTCAATGCACAAATTCACATTTATCTTGCATCATATATCAGAGGTGATTCTATTCGACTAAAAGTAGATTTCTGCTATTGTTCCTCAGGATTTGTCCATAAGGATTACTTTTATAGTCCCCTACTGACTTTGTCAAAGGGGCCTTTAGGTTTGTCTGTCTGTCCATTCCTCAGTCCTGCAAATCAGTTTTCCACACTTTTTTTCTTCGTGCTTGAAGATATTGTTTTGATATTTGGTATATAGTTTTATCATGACAAGTTACAGATCAAGTTCGAATTTTGTTCTGGTCTGATGATTTTGTGCAGAGTTATGGTCCTTGGACTTAGAAAATTCACTCAAATAATCAGTTTTCCACACTTTTTTTCATCATGCTTGAAGAAATTGATTTGATAATTGGTATATAGTTTAATCATGACAAGTTATAGATCTAGTTCGAATTTTGTTATGGTCTGATAATTTTGTGCAGAGTTATGGTCCTTGGACTTAAAAAATTCACTCAAATAATCAGTTTTCCACCCTTTTTTTTTAGCTCACCTGACCCAAAGGGTCAAGTGAGCTTTTCTCATCACTTGGCGTCCGTCGTCCGTCGTTCGTCGTCGTCGTCCGTCGTTGTTAGCTTTTTACAAAAATCTTCTCCTCTGAAACCACTGGGCCAAATTTAACCAAACTTGGCCACAATCATCATTAGGGTATCTAGTTTAAAAAATGTGTCTGATGACCCCGCCAACCAACCAAGATGGCTGCCATGGCTAAAAATAGAACATAGGGGTAAAATGTAGATTTTGGCTTATATCTCTGACACCAAAGCATTTAGAGGAAATCTGACATAGAGTAAAACTGATTATCAGGTCAAGATATATCTGCCCTGAAATTTTCAGACAAATCTGACAACCTGTTGTTGGGTTGCTGCCCCTGAATTGGTAATTTTAAGGAAATTTTGCAGTTTTTGGTTATTATCTTGAATATTATTATAGATAGAGATAAACTGTAAACAGCAATAATGTTCAGCAAAGTAAGATCTACAAATAAGTTGGCATGACCAAAATTGTCAGTCAACCCCTTTAGGAGTTATTGCCCTTAATAATCAATTTTTCGTAAATTTTTGTAATCTTTTACAAAAATCTTCTCTGAAACTACTGATACAAATTTAACCATACTTGGCCATAATCATTATTAGGGTATCTAGTTTAAAAAATTTGTCCGATGACCACGCCAACCAACCAAGATGGCCACCATGGCTAAAAATAGAACATAGGGGTAAAATGCAGTTTTTGGTTTATATCTCTGAAACTAAAGCATTTAGAGCAAATCTGACAAGGTGGCAAAAATGTTCATCAGATTTAGCTTTATCTGCCCTGAAATTTTCAGACAAATCCGACAACCCGTTGTTGGGTTGCTGACCCTGAGTAAGTAATTTTACAAAAATTTTGCAGTTTTTTGTTATTATCTTAGATATCATTATAATATCTAATATCTAATACTATTAATTATGATTTTAACCTTATTTTACATGATTTCCAAAGCATCAGTAAATACAGGTGAGCCACACAGGCTCTTGAGAGCCTCTAGTTTGTCATCCTTGATGATATTGACTTAATATTTGTTATAAAGTTTACAACATGACAAGTTATTGATCAAGTTAGCATTTTGTTCCAGTACAATAAATTTTTAACCGGTAGGGGACTATGTATTACCATACAGTACCCTCAGAATGCTTGTTATACATAGTACCAGTACAACCATTTAGATTTATTTGATGAGAAAAAGTACTCTATCACATATGTTCAGAAATGATTTAAGGGAACAAAACTCTTATGTTTAAAAAAAATAGTAATAAAAGATAAGGAGATGTGGTATGATTGCCAATGACAAAGTGAAAATCTTGTGTTTCCAAAAAATAAAGTTATATAAAATAAGGAAATGTGGTATGATTGCCAATGAAACAACTATCCAACAGAGTCCAAATGACATGGATTTAATTGAGTCTATTGTTTAGTTTGATTTTAATTATTTGGAGCAATTGTTTTCTCTCCCAATGTTATATGCTATCATAATTTTTTTTCCAGTAAAAGGTAACGAGATGGCTCAACAAGGTCATTATACTGCAGCTATAGAACTTTTTACAGAAGCTGTTAAATTAGACCCTCGTGATTTTAGGTATGTATCAGCTGTCTATCAACAGGGAATTTTATTTTTAATTTAAAGTATTTGAACAGTAGACGAAAGGATGATATTGCTTGTGATTTCGCTTGAAATCAAGAGGCCACCATATCAGTTTAAAAAAAACAAAAGTGTTTTTTCTATTTTCCTGAAGTCATAAATTTTTCATGCCAATCTGAAATAATCAAATTACAATTTTAAAATAAAAAGCAAAAGGGACATTCGATTTCAGGAATTGGTGTTAACTGTTTAAGAACTTCAAACTTAAATGCCATATATATATACAAAGAACACAAGTAAATAAGCAGAGAAGAAACTGTGGAAATAATGACTTTTTGCATGTTTCTTCAATATTGAAAAGAACCAGCACTTCTCCACATAAGAGGAGGCATGTAGCATTTTTTTTTAAAGTTTATTTATGTCTCTTATTTCTTACAGATTTTTTGGAAATAGATCTTACTGTTTCGATAGAACTCAACAATATGAAAGGTAATACTTGATACAGTCATGTAATTCTAACCTATATTTGACCTGCAGGATTTGTCAACAAAATAGAACATATTAAAATTACTGTATTTGATTGATTTTGGGTATTGAATGCCACTTTCAACACAATGACTATTTCATGGTGGTCTATTATTATTGGTGGAGGAAGCCGGAGAAAGCCACTGATTTTGGCAGAAAACTGACAATTCTAGTCAATTAAGATTGCAGTTTAACGCACCTGCCACATGCAGGGTTCCAACTCGCAACCTCAGTGTTGACTGGCTAGTGATACAGTAATTGAGTTACAAAAATAAGAAGATGTGGTATTATTGCCAATGAGACAACTCTCACACAGAGACCAAAGGACATGGAAGTTTATATATAGGTCATCGTACAGCCTTCAACAATGAGCAAAACCCATACTGCATAGTCAACTATAAAGGGCCCAAAATGACCAAAGCAAAAAAAAAAACAACAATTCAGCAAGAAAACTAAGGGCCTGAGTTAAGTACAAAACACTGAACGAAAAAATATGATAAACCACTCTACCACCAAGGCCCCTGCTGTATTTGAAAAGCTTTTTAGGATAGATATTCTACAGAAATATTCATAAATTCTGAGCTAAAATAATTGGTAAAAACCAAAATCTGGTTTAACTTGTAAACAAGATGAATATACATATTTGAAATGACATATGGTATGTTCATAGATCAGAGTTATCTTATTAGCTCTCGAATCTATTGTTTTTATTTTAGGGCATTAAAAGACGCAGAAAATGCGATACGTTTAGCTGACAAGTGGGCAAAAGGATATTTTAGAAAAGGAAGAGCTTTAGCAGGGCTCCGGGTAAGACTTAGCTGTTTTATTTTAAAATGTCACTTAAAGAGAACTATTTAAGATTCACTATAATATTGGAGAGGTCATTAAAATATCTCCTGTGCAATGGAATGTCAGTAATGCAAAGGAGATGTTTTCTATCCAAAACTGCACTGAAGTTTTACTACAAGAAGTTTTATTTTATGATAGTTTATTATTTTGAACATAAAGGCATCAGGATGTCATAGCTGAAGGGAAGAACAATTATTCCTATTTATCCGTCTGGTATGATAGTGTAGAAATAATCCTGTATATTGATACAAGCAGATGTGAAAAATAAGTTAGGCAACAACCAAATGTTACAGCAATCGGGATATGAGTTTAAACATTCACAAAATATCCTGCAATCAAAATTATTGAATATTACTTATCACCAAATGATTTACTTGTCATGATCAACTTGGCAGAGTGTCACTTTAGAAACAGAAAAGGCTTGCTTTTCCTTTGCATGTGAGTCAACCCCAAGTTTTTGATTAGGTACCTATTGTTCAATCTTTAGTTTTTATACGCCCGTTTACGGGATGTATTATGATATGCCGTTGTCCGTCTGTCGTCAACATGTCTGACAATTACTCAAAAACTCTTAAACCAATTTGCATGAAACTTTGGTGAATTGTTTATATCTATTGCCGTGAGCTCCTTTTCATTTTTTTATAAATTTTAGATTTTACGTTTCCGAGTTATGGGGTTTTATTCATTAAAAAAGGGGGATTTTCCAGTTTTCGGACAAGAACTAAAGAACACTTTCACCAATTTGCAAGAAAACTTTAGTGAATTGTTTATATCTATTGATATGAGCTCCCTTTCAATTTTTATAAATTTTAGATTTTACGTTTCCTTGTAATGGGGTTTTGTTCATTAAAAAAAGGGGGATTTTCCAGTTTTTGGACAATGACTCAAAAATGCTTTCAGCAGTTTTCATGAAACTTTGGTGAATTGTTTATATCTATTGACATAAGCTCCCTTTCTATTTTTATAAATTTTAGATTTTACCTTTCCAAGTTATGGGATTTTATTCATAAAAAAGGGGTGATTTTCCAGTTTTCGGACAATATCTTTAAAGTGCTTTGAGCAGTGTTTATGAAACTTTGGTGACTGGTTTATATCTATTAAGAAAACCTCCCTTTAGTTTTTTATAAATTTCTAATATGACATTGAGAAGATGTTGAACTTTATTCTTTACAAACGCGACGGGTGTATCATGCGCTCATGGCGCAGCTGATTATTGGTATAGGGTTTAACTTATGATTTTGATGGCCGTGTTATATTACCTTACTCTTTTAAGATAAGTATGTCTTAATATATTATGCTTTTGTATGGTAATACACATGATTAAAGTGATTGATGTGTATTTCAGATGTTTTCTGAAGCAGAAGAAGCTTTTTCTCAAGTTTTAAAATTAGATAAAAATTGTGAAGATGCTGTACAGGAACTTTTACGTGTCAGAACTTCACAAATAAAAGTAAGTAAAATGTATGTAGTGAAAGAAACAATTGACAGACTTCCTGTTGTAGAATTTATCATAGCAGTATGTGTTTGAATCAGATATGATATATACTCTCCAAGGGTGACTGGGGAATAGAAATACGGTCACTAAGGTCTTCTTCCAACCAGCAGTAAAACCCTTGGCAAAGTGGGGCGTATGTCTGGCTGTGCCAGATGTACAAGTATGCAGTCACATCTAGTCAGAATAGGGACAACAAATCTGATAACTCTTGACAAACTTCACATTAAGAACCCTTGCAGCAACTCTTTGAGGGGTCTGAAGGTGGCCTGTTGGAAGGCATGATTCCTTTCCCTATCCAATATAACCTCATTTTCCAGTGGCAGTCCAAATTTCCTGGACGTTCATCCTGAATGGCCTCTATTACAGGACCTGCCTATTGTATTTACTGTTAATTTATCTTGTCCTAAACATGCATGAAATATTTGCCACTGAATGTTAAGCAACTAACAATCAATCAATCAATGAGATGTGATATAATGAATGAAGCAACAAAATGACATAAAGCATAATGGAACTAGATATCTGTTAACAAGTATAACTTTTCAGTAGAGCACCTTCTTGTTTAATTTTGAAGTAAATCTGACAATGCCTTGTTATAGCACATTTGACTTAATGATCAGATATTAGTAATTCAGTAATTTCACTAAGGTTTGATTATATTTGTACAAATATTTATAATAAAAAAAATTATCTGAAATATATTTTTTGTTTACAGGAAATGGGTTTTTCTAAAGCCCAATCTGAGGCAGCAATTAAACAATATGGTACTGTTCAGTCAGCACTAGATAATTTACTGGCAGGTGTAGGTAAGTACTTTATAGGATCACATCCTTTGTCAGATTGAGTATTACAAAAATTGCCTTGGAAATTATTTTTTGCTTCTAGGCCACAGCTTGGATTGAGGGAATAAGCAATACCCCTACCTATTGATATGGTACAAAGCTTTGAGTTTGAATTTTGTGATTTGATATATTCCTTCAATTTTAAATTCAATCATGCTCCTCAACTTACTGTCAGTGGAATGTTATAATTGATAACCAGATTATGTTAAAGAAGGATTTGTTAATTTTTACAGTCAAAGCATTGAAGAATCCCTGTGAAATTGACAAAAAGTGTGACAATATTTTGACAAAATGACAACACCGAGAAAAGAATTTGATTATTTGAAGAAAATAAAAAAAAAAGAAAAATAAGAATTGGAACTGAATGGTTCACAGAATAAAAATACTGAAAACCAAACATTGAAAAATAATGTCTTGTTTGAAAAAACTATATTGATTCTCACTTATTTCAAATGATATTTCTTTTTCGATTATTTTTTTTTCTCAAAATTGGGTTTGGATGTTTTGCATATTTTTCCCTTTTGTATTATTTTTTTATTTTGATTCCTATGTGTATAAGATGCCTTATTGCAATGAATTAAAACTCTCATGTAGTCAGCTATGATTGATTTTTATACACCCGTTTACGGGACATATTATGGTATACCGTTGTCCGTCCGTCGTCAACATGTCGGACATTAACTCACAAATGCTTTAACCAATTTGCATAAAACTTTGGTGAATTGTTTATATCTATTGACGTGAGCTCCCTTTCGTTTTTTATAAATTTTAGATTTTACGTTTCCGAGTAATGGGGTTTTATTCATTAAAAAAAGGGGGATTTTCCAGTTTTCAGACAATAACTCGAGAATGCTTTCACCAACTTGCAAGAAATTGTGGTGAATTGTTTATATCTATTGACATGAGCTCCCTTTTGATTTTTATATATTTTAGATTTTACATTTCCGAGTTACAGGGCTTTATTCATAAAAAAAGGGTGATTTTCCAGTTTTTAGACAAAAAATCAAAAATGCTTTCAGCAGTTCTTATGAAACTTTGGTGAATTGTTTATATCTATTGATGTAAGCTCTGTTTAGAATTTTATAAATTTTACATTTTACATTTCTGAGTTATGGGGTTTTATTCATTAAAAAAGGGGGGATTTTCCAGTTTTTGGACAATAACTCAAAAATGCTGTCAGAAATTCTCATGAAACTTTGGTGAATTATTTATATCTATTGATGTAAGCTCCCTTTACATTTTCATAAATTTTTAATATGACATTGAGAATTAATTGAACTTTAATTGTTTATAGTCTGACAACAGATTTACTAAGTATTGCACAACAGCAAGAAATCTTTAATTGAATATAAATTCAATTCATATAACCAATTTCAAGTTCTTTGACTACGTTTATTCAGAAACCTATAATATGTTAAATATTTAATATAATCCAAATTCAGACCTGTATCAAGCTTGAATATTGTGTCCATTTTTGTCCCAACTGTTCAGGTTTGGACCTTTGCGGGCGTATCCAGCTGCGCTCAGCGAAGCAGTTTATTATGAATTCATGGCATTGATGTAAGAGTAATTTATACATCATAGTGAGTGTGAGATGATTTAATGGTTCATGTATTTGGATTTTAAACTTTCAGGAACATGTTATTGGACTGAAAATGATCTGACTTTTGAAGAGTAACATATTAAAGATGCTTGTACTAAACATTTCCATAAATGTTCATTTTTAACTTACTCTGTTTCAGCTGAAAATGTTTTAGGAGGAGAAGTTTATGTTTCAGATGATGAATCAGGATTTTCTTCACCAGTAACTCAAAGAGTACATCAACTTAATAAAGGGAAAGATGAAAAAATGGAGTGAGTTGATCTATGTCACTTAAAAATTTCCATAACTCTTTGAAAAAATGTCTAAATGTTTGGCATTTTATTTTTATTGATTGCCATGGTTTGTTTATTCAGTAAGGTACAAATCTGCTTGATTTTTTTTTAGATAAAAATCTATAATATATAAAATATTTAAAGATGTTTAACGAAGGTTTTTTCCTAGAGTGTTATCTAATCTCATTAGTTGTCATGTTCGTAATTTTATCTGTCCAGCAGATACATCTTGTTCCTTCAGCCACTCTATGCCTCTGCTTATATCATTTTTTTTTTCAAAAACATCCACATGATGGATTTAATCCAATGAAAGTTGGTGTAACTAAAATTAAGTCTGAATAGTTAAAATTAAAAACTTATTTTTACACAATTTTCATAATCTGTAGATATAAATAAAAGGAGTTGTGTTAGTACACTTCATTGAGACAGCTACCCAATGATGCAAAAAAACAAAAGACATTTAGAGGTCAACATAAGGTCATATAATAAGTCAAGCTCTAAATCACCCTGAGTCTAAAGTTGTGAATATTATAGACAGAGACCATCAAGGTAGTATTTACACTCCGTAATTTAGGTTGCTCTTTTGTGTACCCTACTTAAGACAATGTGTCTGAAGACTGTGATTGGACAAAAAATACAGTATCTACTTAACATACTTTTTCAAGCTGAAGGATGAATCAGGTGTAGAAAAATAGGAAATAATTATATATAGAGGTGAAAATGAATTTTTTAGAACTCTTTTTAATTTTGTATTCCCTGCATTATAGAAGACCTAAAAGCACCAGTGTCCTTAAGATTTATAAAGATAGTACAAAAAGTTCAAAAATGTATATGATAAGTAAAAAAATTGTCATTATTTTTCAGTTTTAAAAATCCAGAAGGCCTTACTGCTTTATGGGTAGGAAATGTTCTTCCAGACAAAGTTGACGATAAAAAATTATTTAAAATTTTTTCAAGGTAAGTACATGAAGAACAAATATATATGCTTATTAGTTTAAATGTTGTATTGTAGTGATCATGTGCTAATAATTGAAATTGTGTGCAGAAAGGCACATCTTACTTCTGATAAGCTTTTGTTTGGACAGGAAGGTAAAAAAGGATACACTATTTGAAAGTGAAAATTTGCACAGATATTTTTACCTTTAATTAATCAGATGTGTAAACAACTTTTGATTAAATTAAATATTCTAGAATAAACTAGATACAACTTTCAGAGAAGATCTGTGTTAATGTGAAAATACTTATTTGTTAGTAGGATATACCCATAACTTGCTGTTACATAGTGATACAAGGAACCATCACTTGCATTGTCGGCTTTTGTCTTAGCCCTATCAAACTTTATGGTTTCAAAAAATATATAAAGGTTTTAAAAATTTGATAGTATAACTAGGTCATATTTGCAAACATTGTAAATGAAAAGAAGGGGTGGGTACGTTGTATAAATTTATGACACAAAATTCCAACCAGCACTTGAAAAAAAAACCAAAGAAAAGGACGGTTGCTCTTACTGCTGTTCTTAATCTAAACACAGAGCAAAAGCTCACACCTCACTTCAAGTTCAAAGCACCCTCCCCCCCCTAACTGGTTTGAGTGGAATGTTTTGCTAGATGTTGATAATCAGTGTTCCAGCTTGAATCTCAGGGCAGAAGGGTGCTAGTTGTCTGAAAGGGCACTTTACGCAATAACCCAGATTGTAAAGGCACTGTTGGACAGTGTATAAATTACCTTGAATATTGCTAGGCTCAACTGGAGGACATTTATTTAGTTGTATTTCAAGCACATTTAGAAATAATTGTGTTCTTAATATTGATTCCAGTTCAATTTTTTATGCCCCCGCAGTAGCATTGGGGGCATTAAGTTTTACCCTTGTCCGTCTGTACGTACATACCAAAATTGGTTTCCATTCTCTAACTTTTGTTTGCCTCATTATACACAATGCTTATTACCACAAAACTTAGATTAAGTACAAATTTGGGTAGCGTCACTTTTCAGGTCACTTTTACAGTTCTTGAGTTATATCCCTTTATAACATTATATGCAAGCGGGGGCATTGTCTGTGGGACACATTCCCCATTTATTTGAAAAGGCAGAAGGGCGGGGGTAATGACACCAAGGGGGAGCCGCCCTTCTATTTGGGGCAGGCGGGAACACTGATAATGATGTTTTGCTAGATGTTGATAATGTTACATTTATGGTCAATGATTTTGAGAAAAATACAGATGCAGGATAGTACAAATGAACTTATAAATTACAATCTACTGACAATCGAGTAGACGCTGTCATAATTTACCTAATAATTTCATTGTAAAATCTTACAATTTTATGATATAAAAAAAGTATATAATGAATGTTTTAATTATCATTTAACAGGTATGGCAGTGTAACGAGTGTACGATGTTTACCCGAAAAATTTTGTGCTTTTATAAATTATTCAACAAAAGAAGCAGCAGGGAAGGCCATGCATCATTTACAGGTATGCGTTTAGATAATTATACAGTCTCTCACAAATAATGTTCACTGCTGTTTTGTATATTGAAAAAGTCTACCACATCCTGGGTCAATAAAAAGAATAATCCATGTACTACAATAATTTCTGCTGTAAATTTTCCCAAATCAGCTTTGTCAATCAATGTGGTTTTCTTATTGACAGTTATTTTTTTGTGAGAATAAATGATAGAGCTTCCATACCACATTTGAAGTATTTTAACAAGATTACTTTGTTTGATCTTGTTTTCCTCTTTCTGTAGGTTCCAACATGATTATAAATCTATAATTTTCCATGGATCAAGTTTATGACATAGTGTTTAAACAGCATATATGTGTACCATTTGCTATTCATTGCTTTGATGAAAAAGTAGAAAGATTCAGTATTAGGCTTGAGGTTGTACAGGGAGCATACTTTTGACATTTACAACTATTATTTATAATTGAGAACTTTTCCCAATGTTCTGTTGTAAACTTAAACTGTATTAGATTTTTACTTGCTGTTCTTGTTATTCTTTGTGTTTCATTGTAGGCATATGAATGTGGTGGCCAAAAACTATTAATAAAATTTCCTGACAACCCTATAGTAAATGGAACTGGAAATACTACTATACGAAAATCAAATCCTCATGGTACTATTATTCTTCAAAAATCAAAACAACCACCAACTAAGTAAGTAGAACATATACATAGTTATAAAATGAAAAACTGAGGAAGGGTTTTATTAGATCAGAATTATGGAAAGCCATGGGATACATATTTTCTGGATATAGGGTATCCACTAATTTTAATGTTTAACAAAATGTAAACTTCCTGTAGGCTTATATGTTGAATTTGGTAAAACCATGTTTTTTCCTTGAGGTTTCTTTTACTAGTTCCTCGGACATTACCTTAAGTAATATTGGGAGCATTGGTGACAGAGTTGTCTAAGAAGTTCATCAGCCGTGATCACTAACCTTTCCAACTCTTAGGTTGTGAGTTTGAATCACGCTCTTTGCAAGTGTTTTCTATTCTGATCTTTATTGATAATGATTGCCTGCTTTCCTGTTGAAGGTCAGTGGGTCTCTCCTGCTACTTTGACTTCCTCCACAAATACAAACTGTTTGCAATAATATAGTGACGTGAATGTGGATTAAAACACAAAACTATCTTTTGGAATAGTGTTGCAATCACAAAATTAGCTCTAAAGCAAGATATCTATATGAAATGAAAAGGATGAGAAATTATTCAAAAACTTAAAGAAACCTTGAATAAACTTAACACAAGGACAGCCATTCTTGTTTATTCTTTTGGTTACACTAGAAACAAGATGGTTGGATACTTTCATTTCATAGAAGGGGCCTCGGTGGCCGAGTGGTCTAAGTAATCGAACTACTGTATCACTAGCCTGTCAACACTGAGGTTGTGAGTTCATTTCCTGCATATGGCAGGTGTGCTCTACTCCCATCTTAATTGACTAGGATTGTCAGTTTTCCTACCAAAGGTCAGTGGTTTTCTTCAGGCACTCTGGCTACCTCCACCAATACAAACTGACCACCACAAAATAGCACAATAGTGCTGAAAGTGACGTTTAACTCCAATCAATCAATCAATTAATCAGCCCATGAGTAATAAAAGGGAGATAATTTATTAAAAGGATGTTTTCCTTTTTTTTTACTTTCCACAAAATAGATACTGTAATCTAATTTATTTTTGTGGATACTTTTTTCCAGGTTTAGCCCTTTCTAGTCAGCATTTTGGCATATTTGTTTTCATGATTTTATAACTCTGTTGATGTATCATTTAGGTTTAACATAGTCACAATGATTTACATTTTCATCTTGTTAAAATAAATGGCTTGTATACTGTAAATTCAGAAATTATTGGGAGGTTTTTATTAATGCGAATAATGCGACTGGGTGAGTATCACAATAATAAGAACTCGCATTCTGATATCTGATATATATATTTGTTTGAAGATTTTCCTAAAATAGCAATAACTAATCTCACATTTTTGTACAATCTTTAAAAATCGCAATAATAAATGCATGCAATGATTTCTGAATTTACAGTATATTAGTTGGCTTACAGTAATTTATATGATGATGGTTCATTCAAATCATTGCTGATTACTGCTTTGGATGAATACATTATTCTTTTTCCTTCTTTCTTACACAAAATAACACGCAGCAGCTCTTTATGAACTACTGTTTCAGTAACTAGATTTTTTTTTTAATTTTCAGAGTCGTACAGCAGCCGACCCCAACTGCACAAGAGATTCAGAAACAGTCTGGCCCTGTCAATGGTGATGAATGCTATTTTTGGAGAACTACAGGATGCTCTTTTGGTGACAAATGTCGGAATAAGCATAACCCTTCAAGCAAAGGATTAGATATGAAGCCTTGGCAATTAAAGAAATAGACAAAAAAGTTAATAAGAAATCTCTTTCTGCTTTCCCTTTAAATGAATTTGAGTTCTGTAATATTATGTCAAATGTACAAGAAATACAATTTTCAAAAAAAAAATTTCTTACAATTTTGAAATAGTAAATATCCCATATTTTCTTAAATTTTCAATGAATCATAGATCCTTTTAGAAATAATCAAGAAATTTATTTTCAGTCCTTTGTTTTGAAAAAAAGTGATGAGTCTCTTTCAGTGAAACAAACAAACAATGATCATCATGGTTTTATAAATTTGTTGATGTATTTTGATCAAATAAGTTGAATAGTGGTTACAACTAATATATTGACTGCAAAGATTTTGAAGAAATGTCATGAAAAAGTTAGTCGTAGTTCAAAATTAGTGTAGGTTGAGAAACTCTAAACACACATATACCTTTTGTTAGAAAAACCAGAAAAGTTTCTTATACTTTTCTTTTGAAAAATGTATTTCTAATACATGTACATGTTTAACATCAGTAAGACTTTTATCAATATTATAATGTTATTTAAAGATTATCCATAGGTAAATGTTATTGTTCGAAGATATCATTGACAATATTAACTTATCTAATCTATCTGTATTGCAAAGTGCTTTGTTTAGAAAAAAAGATCTGTTTTAGTAAAATACTAGTATTGTTTGTGTGTGATGTAATAATTGTTGATCACCAAAACATCCGTTGTTAGGATGGAAATGAAATGTTTTATCTGGCCAGTGACATTTTCCATATTTGCCAAATCTTGTTATATTGTCTCGATTTACATCCTGAAATCTTTCCAACTGCTGTATATTTTATGCCCTCGCCAGAAGTTTTACCCTTGTCCGTATGTACGTCCCAAAGTTGGTTTCCGTTCTCTAACTTTGGTTTGCCTCAACCAAATGTTATGAAACTTATACACAATGCTTATTACCACAAAACACAGATCAAGTTTGAATTTTGGTGGTGTCACTTTAACCATTCTAGAGTTATGTTTCCGTTCTCTAACTTTAGTTTGCCTCAACCAAATGCTATGAAACTTATGCACAATGCTTATTACCACAAAATACAGATCAAGTTTGAATTATGGTGGTGTCACTTTAACCGTTCTAGAGTTATGCCCCTTTAGAAATGGAAAAATTGCTGAATTTTTCGTTTCCGTTCTCTAACTTAGGTTTGCCCCAACCCAATTTTATGAAACTTATACACAATACTTATTACCAAAAAACTCAGATCAAGTTCAAATTTGTGTAGGGTCACTTTTACCGTTCTTCAGTTATGTCCGTTTATAATTTTATATGATATACAAGCGGGGGCATCATCTGTGTCCCATGGACACATTCCACATTTATAAGAAGATGAATTTTATATTCAGAAAAAGATTATGGAAGTTTATTATCTCAACGAATTTTCTCTTTGGATAGAAGAGGAGTTTTAATTTTATGAATGAAACAAAACTTTTTCAGTAGAATTTTTGGGCAATCTTCAAAAACTTGCAGTTTAAAATGATCTCTGTAGATTTTCAGATATACCAGTTGCTTTAATCTAGTAAAACTAAAATCAGGATGTGGATAGTTACTTTTTTAACATTTTAAAGTAGCGCTGTGGATTCTTTATTATTCGTTGGATACCAATTTTCATGGGTATAGGTAAACAATTTACCTGTGCACTTTATTGTGGAAGCTCATGTCATCATGACTGTTACATTTCATTTGGAAATGAAGGTTAACTTCAAAATGACGGGTGATTGCTGTTAGCCAATCAAAATAATGTATTACAATGAAAACTACATGTAATGTAATTATAATCAATGAAGATGCAATTTTTCCTCAATCTATGAATTTAAACGAATCCACAGTATATGAACATTTTATGGCAATTCATAACAATGACACCTAGCTGAAGTTAGCATAAAAGATGAACTTTTTAATCTGTTTGTTACTTGTTGAACCCTTGTAAAACTTTACATAAGCACTTGTACATGTCTGTATATCATATTTAAAAATATAGTTTCTTTGTGAAGTTGACAAAAATTAGAGGTTTGATCGTATTTTTGTCGTTTGTGTATTTGGTAGAAATTCAAACGTAATATCTTCACTCAGGTTGGTGAAAGTTAAAACATATCATTTGATATTCTTTACCAGACGGGTGGGATTATTAAAAAAGATTATTTTGCATGTACAGATAAATGTATTGCTGTCCTAATGGGTGTTGGCCACTGAAAATAAATAAATTAAAAGAGTATCATTTATGATTTGGTATATAATAAGCAAATGTTAAATTTAGTTAGATTGTTAAGGGAAATGCTTTTAAAGACAACAAAACAATTTTAAAAAGCTTCTTAAACAATTTATTATTTTCCATTTGCAAGACTCTTTCTCTGTGATTGTGAATTCAGAATAAAGCCATTTGCAATTGTACCTCTCTTAATGGATTTGGTGTCTGACATAGCTTTTATTCTATAACAGAATCTCATAAGAATATATGAAATGGCTACTGTTATGTGCAGCTGATGGAAATTCATAAAATTGTACATTTCATCGAAGAAAAATATTTTTTAATCAGGTTGTATATTTTGTGATCATCAATAAATATGGTAATTAGATTTTTTGACAAGAATTAAGTTTCAACATCAGCATTATAATTTTAGCATTATTTGTGTTTTATCTGTAAAGTTTCACCAATTACATTACATTATCTTCCATTTTGGTTTTGGGATAACTCCACTCTTATTTGGGTGTCATTGAAATTACCACACAAGGATCAGGAGAAAATTTGTAAAAATGTCATATTTAATTGAAATTAAGTCTGGTCCATTTGTCAATGAAGTTAAATCTATTCTTAGCAAGTCTCCCATTTAGTTTCTAAAGGTATTTGAAGGTGAACATTATTTTTTTCTTCCTATCAAGAATACATTAAATTGATATTTAACTAAATAAGCTGGATATGATTTCTTAATATAAAAATATTACTGCTTTAGAATATTGTTTGATCATATCTTTTTATGAGAATCAGCTCTGAATAAACTTTTGAATTTCACTATTATCGATAAAAATATCACAGTTTGTATTAATTATCTCCAACATTATCAAGAAAAATTCCTTCTAACCATTTTACATTTGCAAAACACTTATCCTATCAAAATATGCAGCAAGTGGACATTTTTTCCCTCTTTAATTTGTGAATTCAAAATTGCAGAGGAGGCAATGTGTTCAAATTTCATAATATCAAAATGGAATATTGTTGATTTATTTATTTTTTTGTTGCTACCAATTTTAAAAAGAAAAATTGTTTTTTTTATGGACACTTTATTTCATGGTTTTGACAAATTCTGCATTCAAGCCTCTGGAAATTTGTATTTTGTTGAACACTTAAGGTGGTACCAAACACCTTGACTAAAATTACTTTGGCTCGTTTAATTTTCATAAAATTTTGACAAAATATTAACTTTGACCCTCTGACAAAAATATAAAAATTTCAAAAACCTTGAACCACACACTTTATTGGAAAAATTCCGTTGGATATATAGCAGTTTGACAAACACTAATTTTGATCATTGAGAAGCTTAATATTTCCTTAACAATAGAACGTGATTGAAACGTTCAGCTAATTTTTAAAGAGTTATCTCCCTGTAGTGTTATGTACCACCTTAAAATCCTGATTCACCTTTATTCAGGAAATCCATGAAAAAATTATTATCCAAAGAATAATAATAAATCCACAGTAATTGTTATTATAGAATTTTCCCAGGACAGTATTATATTGGAACTGTGATAATTTATAATTGTACTTATCTTGTTATAGTTGAAAATGAGGCAATAATTCAGTCTGATTTAAATATAAAGGTTCATAGGTTATAACTTTGCTGTTTTGGGATTTAAGAATGCACCAATATCATTATTCAACAAAGAACAATGGAATGACCTGATTTTAATCAGACTGGGCAATAATTATATCTTATTTTTGTACTGTAAATGGAATTTTTGCTGTTTTCTTGTTTTACCATTTTTCTGATCAGTATTAAAATGAATTACATTGTTTTTTAAGCCAAAATTTTGTAATACTCTCTGTATTCCTAAGTACCAATGTTTTTTTTTGTATTTTTGTTTTCATTTAATAAGTTGATGTCTTCACATACCAAAGGAATAAATATCCAGTTGTAGCATTTTTTTTGGCCAAAAATCAGTAGTTGCATATCAGATAAAAAATGTTTTATTATAATGTAGGAAATGATTTGGATTTTTTTTCTTTTGCTTTAAAGTTTGATTTAGTAGTACTCTACTATATAACTCTTGGTAAACTGAAACATTTGTAGTTTTTCTTGGCAATATTTCAAAAAAACAATGTCACTGGTGAACAGGGTTTCAGACAATGTAACTGGTTCTATTTATTTAAATTTTGTGTTTAAACAATGAAATAATCTTAAGTCCTTTGGATTATGAAAAACATAAATTAAGACAATTGTTATTTTAAGGGAACATTCTACCATTCTGTCTCTATTTTTTATATGCACAATATTTCGAACACAAAGTTCCTCAGGAAATATAGCCCCAAACTCTGGACCAATTTACTTTTCTTGCTCATAAGAAAAAGGTTTCTGAATTTCATAAGAAACAGGTTATCCTATAGGTTTAGGAAGTTTATTTTTCTTTTCAACATGCTTAAGAAAATCAGACACATATTTAAGCATCATTCTGAAGCAAATCAGTTTCTGTGTCCGAACAATGTATTAGATACTTTTAGAATGTTTATAATTGACAATTTTATTTTCTTGGGACAATGTTTTTTAATCATTTTAACAACTGTTAACTAACGATATCTGTTGTTACGTTTTTGAGAAAAATGTACATTGTATTTGTATAAATATGTACTATATGTGATATCATAAAGAAACTCATGCAATCTCTTCTAGTGTTATTTTTATTTTACAGCAAAGGCCAGTCATGTGTATACCAATTTTCTTGCAACTGATTGGTATAGTTGTAATTTTATCAAGAGGTACTCTTTTAAGTTCAGCAACTATTGTTTGCATTTAAGAATTGAATGCTTCTTTTTGTATGTTTATTTGGGTGTAAAAGCATTGACAGAACAACATTTTGTATGAAGCCCAGAAGCTTATGGCACAGAAATGATTCTGAGATGAATTTTAAATTACTAACACACTGTAGAAAACAGTAACTGAATGAGACAGCATAAAATGAAAAGCTTGTTGGTTTTTAGGGGAATTGTGGCATTGTTGAACTTAACTGAAAATATGGTGTATAGCTCTGTCCTGGCATCAGCATGTTTCAATATTTCTTAGCCAAATTAAAATCTAGTCACATGAAAATTTGTCAATTTTTTGTCTCGCCTGCAGGGTCAGTTGCAGATTATGACACATGGGGATTACTTTCTTGTAGAGGTGACAGTGTAAACAGTTTGTACATGTATAAAGCTTTATATTTCAGAAGGTAGAAGACCCTGATGCTTCATACCTTGTATCCAGATTGCCTTGCGTGACTGTCTATCATATGTCCATAATCCTTGACCTCATTCTCTAGGTTCAGCGACTGCTTGAAACAAATGTATAGTTTTTTGTCGTGAAATACTAATAGGTTAACGTTATTTTGTATATGGGACCCTTGCAAGGTATACATATCTGTCAGACTTCACCTGACTTTGACCTCCTTTCATGGATCCGTAATTAAGGTTAAGTTTTCATGATCAAATCTGCTTTTTCAGATATTTCAAGAAACGGGTCAACTATTTTAGGTGTATAGAATGATTGGAAGGTGCACATGTCTGACTGGCCGGTTTCAACTGACCTTGACCTCATTTTCATGGTTCATTGGTCAATGTTAAGTTTTCGTTGTTTGGTCTATTTCTCAGATACTGTAAGTAATAGGGCCACTAATTTGTTGCATGGAATGATTGTAAGTTTTTCATATCTCTCTAGCAGGCTTCATCTGACCATGACCTCATTTTCATGGTTCGTTAGTCAATGTCAAGTTTTCATGGTTTTGTCTGTTTATCAGATACTATAATCAATAGGTCAACTATATTTGGTGTATGAAATTATTGTAAGGTATACAGGTCTGTCTGTTGGTTAGGGTTCACCTTCCCTTGACCTCATTTTATGGTTCATTTGTCACTATTAAGTTTTCATGGTTATGTCTGTTTCTCCCATACTTTCAGGAATTGGCTAACTATATTTGATGTAAGATATGATTGCGAGGTACATGTCTGTCTGGCAGGGTTCATCTGACCTTAACCTCATCTACAGGGATCATTTTCAATGCTAAGCTTATGTGATACTTGTAGTAGAATCTTCATATTTATTACATCCCAGCTCCTTTGTTCTACCAGGGGTGATCTGAGTCGGATCACCCCTACCAGATCATCCTAGCTTGATTTTCTTTGTTCTGCATGCTTTCCTTTGTTCTGTAACATTTTGGCGGGAATGTCAAATCCACAATAAAACTTAGAATTATTTATACTGAAAAGACTATCAAAATTTATGTAGAAAAATTACAGTGTCTATGCTGGGATTGGAACTCAAGACCTTTAGCATATAGATCCACGATTTATACCCCTACACCAGGACAACTGGATACAAACAACTGTTAATCTAACATTGTGTCTGGGGCTCATAAAGGGTATATACTATATAGACCCCTTTAAATTTGTAACTTGCAAGGTAAAATGGTCACAGTACATTTACATTAACTAAATTTCTCATATAATTGTGTAACGCCCAAAACTTTTAAATCTTTTTGTCTAGCCTTACACTAGTAGGTAGGTATGCTGTTGCTTTATTTTCTGGAAATGACTCCCAAACCATCTTGACCTTTAGTATTTATACTGTACAAGCCAACTACTATTCATAAGCAATTTATCTAAATGACTTTGATGAGAAGAAAAATGCTATAAATATGTTCAACTTGGATCCTCTCTACATGGATACATTAACAAAGTTACAAAACTGAAATAAATCTCCAAGTGTGTTGTAAATATACTGCAAATTCAGCAATTTTTCCATTTATAAAGGGACTAAACTCGAGAAAGTTGAAAGTGACACCACCCAAATTCGCACTTGATCTGTGTTTGGTGGTAATTAGCATTGTATATGAGTTTCATAACATTTGGTAAAGGCAAACTAAAGTAAGAGTGCGGAAATGGCAAACTCATCAATTTTTCCATTTTTAAAGGGACTCGAGAACTTTCAAAGTGATGCCACCCAAATTCCGGCTTGATCTGTGTTTGGTGGTAGTTTGCATTGTGTAAAAGTTTCATAATGCTTAGTTTAGGCAAACTAAAGTAAGAGAATGGAATCCAATTTCGGGACTACCTACATACAGATGGACAAGGGTAAACCTGAATACCCCTTTCACCTAGTGGGGGCATTAAAAACAATTGTCTTCTGAATATTTTTTCAATGATAGCATTCCACAATGTATTCCAAGACAAGACTAAACCAAATATGTTTGTAATACTGCCTGCTGGACCCTCATGAACTTAATACAATAAAGACTGTTTAAGTATCAAACAACAGTTTATTCACAAATAACAGTATGAGTAAATATTGAGTATTTTCTAACAAGTACAAATATAGTGGATTTTTATACTGTAATTCATATGCTTTAATCTTTCTTATTCTTTTGTACAATTTTTTTACACATGGAATCAAAATGGACAGTGTTAAGATAGCTTTTTTTAAATGTTGAATGTATTGTAACCACATAGTGGTAATTTTTTTACAAAATATATATAAAACATTTTTTTACCAGTTATTTGAGGGAATTTTTAATAATAAAGATAATATATACATAATGAGTGATCTCCTGGACCTATCTGCAATTTTGCTACAGCTAGAACATTTGTTTCACATCAGAAGATCAATTATTTTTTTATTAACTTTATTTACTATTTCTCTGTAAGTGTGAAAATTACATATGGTTTTTTCCATGTTCACATTAATAAATTTCCACAGTCTCCAGTTGGTCAAAATTTTATTATGATATCTTTGAAGTGTTGTCTTACAGGTTATTGAAATATGTCACACTATGTCAAAGTTATAAAAAAGAATTAACTACTACCGGTAGATATTTAGTAGACATTTTGATGTGACAAATCCATACCTATATATGGCCTCAAATAATACAAAAGTATATTTAAACTATAATTAATTTAAAGTAGGCTTTATACAACTAGGCTGTTTAAAAAAAAGCACTTTTAATTTGTTTATTTGCAGGAAAATGACATCATATCATGCTAGTCAAAAATCCAAACTGCAAAATCATCAAAAGCAATCATTTTACGATAGTGTTGCCCATCATTTAATGATAACTGGAATGTTTTTCAAAATTTTGTTTTCTTCCTCAGAAATCTCTCTTTAAGGAATGTGAGAGTATGTATGATAACTATTACTGCTTCCTTTCAAATCAGAAAAGGCCATACATGTGTCAACAAGACAATATAAAGCTGTAAGACTTGATTAAACACATCATAGAGATGTCTGAACTTTTGACATTAATCACACATTACTTATGATTTGGACCTAACAGACATACTACAATAATGCATTTGTCATTTGATTTATTTTTCAGTTCGAGACATTTCTGGTAATGGGGAGATAATCACATTCAATCTCTACAAACGCATTATAAGTATGCCTAATAGGTATGATACGCAAGAAAAGTATGACTAATGTCTACAATTTGGATGTCGTTAATATAAAATGACCAGACTCTTGTTTTGTATAATTCTTAATAGACAGACAGACAAGAAAGTGATAAAGACATTTGTCTCACATTAAATGTGTATAATTATGAATAATTCAAGATGATAGACGCGAGATATCAAACTTAGGTATAGATGCTAATGTAATTTCAAATGGTCAGAAATTTATGAGATTTATTTGTTATATAAAATATAAAAATATCATCTAAGTAGAACATGTGAAGAATTGTTGACTATTATTTTTAACGTAGATCATAATTTTTTGTTTACAAGAAATTGTTTTTTAAGAACTAATCCTCTTTACAGAAGCACTTAGTTTCTTAAGTTATTAGTTTTGTTAAGACTGATTACAAAAATAAATAATTTGAGCAAGAAATATCAACTGTTACCCGTGGAGTTACCATTATCAATAACTGAAGTTTTTTGTCCTGTCATATCAGACAATCTACGGTCTTTTAACATGGGTTTTATAATCCCTGTCCTTTCTGATAATTTATTCGGATCTTGACGAGAATAACAAGTATAATCTGAAAGTCTTCGGTCACTAAAAGTTACAGTTTTTCCAGAATGTCTACGTCCACTACCAACTTCTATTGCTGAATGTACACTAAGTCTTTGTTTAAAATCTGGTACGTCTGGTAAATCAAATGACGAATTCTCAACTTTGTCAAGATCCTCATCTTCATCTTCACAATCAAAACTTTCGTTCACACGTATTCCACGAATTGATGGTTTCTCAGCCTCTTCCCGAAGAGACTGTTTCCGGACTTCTTCCACTACTTCTTCCTGTTTATCTGATTGTTCTTCATCATACTTTACTCTAAAAATAAATAAAACAAGAGATAATGTGGGTTATTGCTCCTCGACTATACCTCTGTGCAATGTTGTCGACTCTATTTTGCAGATAATATGCAAATTTTATATACTGTGGATTCATTATTATTAGTGGAATACCAAATTTGGTGGATTTCGTGGGTACAGGTGAACCATGAGTTTAAATGTTCAATGTGAAGTTCAAATTTTCTGTAGGTTTGTATGCAGACTTTGGCAAAACCATGAAATCAAATATCCACAAAAATACAATTTTCCTCAATCCACGAAAATTGGTATCCAGGAAAATACATGAATCCACAGTATGTGCCTGACATGTTAAAGGTGCAAGTTTTACCCAAACAGGAAGTAGAATATTGAAGGAACTGAAAACATGTCACCCAGAATGGCATAACCAGATGAAGCTTAGTGTCATATATCAAGGACTTGTAGTTGCTGAGAAAAACCAGTATAGCAACCCTCCTTTGTATCTGCAGGATAAACATATTTCTTTTCAAGATATCAAATATCTTTGTTTACAAGATAAATATTGGTTTTATTTTGTTTGATTTAGCAGCCTCATCTCGTTGTCATAGCTATCATTTTGTTTTTTAGCATCAGGTACTGTTAATTCAAACATTATGCAACCTCTTATTATTGTGAATCACTGATCGCCTTCTTTACTAACCATTGATATTATGTTGATAGTCCTAAATATAAAGCTTTACTACAACTATCACATAAACTTAACGTGATCAAAGAAAATGAGGTCAAGGTCATATAAACCAAACAAGAAATACATGTACACCTTACAATCATTCAATACACTAAATATAGTTGACCTATTGCTTATAGTTTCTAAGAAACAGACTTAACCAAGAAAACTAAACATTGAACAATGAACCATGAAAATGAGGTCAAGGTCAGATGAACCATGCCAGGCAGACATGTACAGCTTACAATCCTTCCATACAACAAATATAGTTGACCTATTGCTTATAGTTTAAGAAAAACAGACCAAAACATAAAAACTTAACTATAACCACAGAACCATGAAAATGAGGTCAAGGTCAGATGACACCTGCCAGTTGGACATGTACACCTTACAATCCTTCCATACACCAAATATACTAGACCTATTGCTGAGCAATGAACTGTGAAAACGAGGTCAAGGTCAAATAAAACCTGAGAGACTGATACGTGCATCATAAAATATTTCCATACACCAAATATAGTTGACCTATTGCATATAGTATTAGAAAAAAAGATCAAAACTCCAAAACCTAACTTTGACCACTGAACCATGAAAATGAGGTCAAGGTCAGATGACACCTGCCAGTTGGACATGTACACCTTACAATCCTTCCATACACCAAATATAGTAGACCTCTTGCATACAGTATAAGAAAAACAGACCAAAACACAAAAACTTAACTATAACCACTGAACCATGAAAATGAGGTCAAGGTCAGTTGACACCTGCCAGTTGGACATGTACACCTTACAATCCTTCCATACACCAAATATACTAGACCTATTGCTTATAGTATCTGAGATATGGACTTGACCACCAAAACTTAACCTTGTTCACTGATCCATGAAATGAGGTCGAGGTCAAGTGAAAACTGTCTGACGGGCATGAGGACTTTGCAAGGTCAAACATACCAAATATAATTATCCTATTACTCATAATAAGAGAGAAAATAACATTACAAAAAATCTTAACTTTTTTTTCAAGTAGTCACTGAACCATGAAAATGAGGTCAAGGACAATGGACATGTGACAGACAAGGCATCTATATACAAAGTATGAAGCATCCAGGTCTTCCACCTTCTAAAATATAAAGCTTTGAAGAAGTTAGTTAACGCCGCTGCCGCCGGATCACTACCCCGAAGTCGAGCTTTCTGCGACAACAGTCGCAGGCTCGACAAAAATGTGAGATCCAATTAATGTGATTGGAAAAATCTCATGAAAGAAAATCACTACTGAAATCATGAATGCTAGTTTTTATTATTGTGAATACTGTCACATATTTATCGCAATATTTTTAGAGCATTGCAATAATGCAGAATTGACAGTAGATAGAGGAATGTTTCTTCAGCTGTTCTAAACAGAACAATAAAGTACAATGTAATATAAAAATAAGACAATGTGGTATTACCAATTTGACAGAGACCAAATGATAAGGATTTAAAACAACTATACGACCCTCAATAATGGGCAAAACCCATACCCTATAGTAAGCTATAAAAGGCCCTGTCAAGACAAATCAAATCAAAAGAGAAAACCAGAGGGCCTGGTAATTAAACATTTTATAAAGACTAAGTTGGTTGAAAATAAAAGAAATACATTTCTGAACCCTTTGTCAGTGTTGAATGGTTTATTGAATTTTAAAGATACACATTTTTCAGCAAAAAAAAAAGCAATGTTTTGATTAAACTATTGCAACCAAAAGTAGACTATTAATTAACATGTCTGGACCTGACAATGACTTAAACACATTACAAATAACAATATTTATATGAAAGATTGGCTGTCTTTTTTTGTAGTTGTGTTGTAATGTTGCTTTCTCATTGGTGGTCCCCCACATCTCCTTTTATTGATATGAATAAAGAAGACTTGGGGTATATGTCGATGACCCAACAACACTTAAAAACCATTGATATACTTACTTTTCTCTATTGTAAACTTTAAAATATTTATATATATTTTCTTCCTCTGTGGTATTTTCTGAGTCCTGCAAAACACCAATAAAATAAATATGATGAAACCTGTGATAACTGAACCCAGCATGGATCATTCAAGAAGTAGTGTTGCATTATGGGAACATCGCTGTTTTCATTTTTTTAATGGTCAAAACATTATTTAAACACTTATTCACTGAGCCACATAATTTATGAGGTCAGAAAATGAATTCCTGAAATGATCCATTACATAGCAGGATATACGATGAATATCTTTTAGTATCATCAACTGTTACACAAACAACTGTCTGACTCAGAGGCGACAAATATATGCTCTTACTCCTTAATGCAGCATACTTAACCCATGACCTTCTGTACTATAGGAGAAGGTCATACCTTGAGACCATCAAGATGGTTAGAAATTATGTCTGCTTTTCATTGTGATAGAAAATCATGGAGAAATAAGACGATTTGTAAATACTGTGGATGTAATATAATTCGTGTGATATCAATTTCATAGATTTTGTTGGTATAGGTTAACCAGGAATCAACGAAGTAAATATTTTCTATAGCATTGTATGCAAACTTTAGCAAAGATACATATCAAATATCCACGAAAATACAATTTTTCCTCAATCCCCAAAAAATAAAAGAATCCATGGTACCTGATCCTTACATCTGTTAGAGCCAAATCAATAAAGGACAGGCAAGCCAGCCTAAGTTATCTTTATGCCAGTTTTGACAAATTGTTTAGCTTTTAAGAGAAATGACTGAACATTGAAAATTTTCCCTGTGGAACAAGCTAAGTCAATATATGAATTTTAAGCTACGAAAAAGCTTCAGAAACAATTCACTGATTACATTCCATGCATACTTAAGATATTTCTATCCTCCTTTTGCATTAATGTTTGCTAAAACAGAATACAGTTAACATAACATACCACAGAAGCCTGTCTGGACAGTTCACCTCTCTTAGAATTTTGTTTAGCTAATCTTTTCTTCTTTTTATGAAGTGGTTTGGATTCTATAATCATTTCTTCTAGTTCATATGTAGGATCACAGTTTAAATGGTCTTTCTAACAAAATATAAACATACTGTAAATTTTCATGTATAAAGTCATTTATTGGTTACGGTAGATCAAGTAAAACACAGCATCCATACAAATTTAATATTGTTAATAGCATTTTGTTAACAGGTAACTTCCGTAGCCTCCCATTTTTCCTATGTTGTTAACCATAGCAATTTCTCAGATATTTAGTTTTATAATACAATGAAATGTAATTTGTATTTTACTTCATGTGGCAGGTGCGTTTGACTCCAATCTTAATTGACTAGGATTGTCAGTTTTCCTGTTGGAGGTCTGTTCTCTCAGACTTCCGTCCACCAATTAAGAGCCGATGGCCACGATATAGCCAATAATGCAGACAGTGGAATTAAAACCCATTAATCAATCTTGTATTTAACTATAAATATACTTTTCCAAGAGTAGATCTATTTTTAGGTAATCCAAATATTAGCACAAAAACAGTATGCGATGAAATATTTAAAGTATTATCTACGATGTTCCTTCTAGTGAGGAGCATTTCATATAAATTTCTGTACATCAACAATTCATAATTAAACAATGTCTATTTGTCAGTTTTTTATTATCAAGATGTCAATCTCAAAATTTTTATTAACAAACACATCTGCAAAGTTTTAGACCAATCTGTTTATGTTAATTAAATGACTACAACATCATGCAAAAGTTAGTATTTCTGACTTATCTTCTATTGAACTTACTGAAGGTTCAAATGTTGGTTTCATTTGTCGCATCAAAACTTTGTCAAAGTCAAGTTCATTCATAAAATACTGTCCTTTTAACATCACTAAACTTGATATTCTTCTGTCTGGGTCTAAGGTCAGCAGCTGTAAAAAAAAAAAAGTAAAATGTGTTTAATACTAATAATGTGATGCTGTATTTCATGTGTAGAATAGTATGGTTCATGGACTTCGTCTTATATCCAAGACTTTGCTATGGCAAAAATCTAGAGACCAAAACCCAATGAAATCATTTTTCTTGAAACAATGTGCAAGCTTACTTCTTGTAAATCCTAGAATGTTTACTGATCAATGTTAAAGAATCTTAATCTTTTAGGGCACAAGTAATTTTCAAGTTAATCTTTGTCAATTGATTCTGGAGTCAGTTCTTTTTCTTTTAAATGTTAGAGTTCAAATTTCCTGTTTAGTAGAAACAGTTATTTGGTTGTTGAATGGTGCTGGCATACTTGGTTTTGTTTCTGACTTCTATAAACAAAAGTACTGACAACAGGTTTCATTAGTTTTTATCAGTATAACAAGTTTCATATATCATATACTGTAAATTCAGAAATTATTGGCAATTTGCAATGTTTGTATTATTGCAAATAATGCAAATGAGTGCGTATCACAATCATAAGAACTTTCATTCTGAAATCTGACAAATATATTTGCAGCTTTTCTTGTAATTGCAATAATTATTCTCAAATTTTTGTATGTCATGTCGAAAGTACTGTAGATGTTGAAAAATCCATGAAAGATTTCCCCTGTACAAAATCTTTAAATATAAACAATATTGTTGTGTTGACGCATTTGTAGTTTGTTGAATAAAATTTAATCCCTGTGCAAAAAGTTTATGCATAGAAATTGTGAAAAGATCCATGTTTACAGGACTGGTATATAGTAATAATGTGCATTGTGGCAAAAAAAATTAGGTTATTGATTAGTAAAAAACAATACAATTAGATTTATATTGGAGTTAAACACTCAAATGGCCAGGTTGCACAAAATACTTAAATTTATTGAACTATGTATGGCAAATAATCTCTTATGCATATATGTGTAACAAGAATATATTCATAGGACACCACTCACACTATCACATTTCCATGTTCAGTGAAGTGTGAAATCTGGGTCAAAACTGAAAGTTGGCAATCAAATTTAAAAGTTCACATCATAATGAACATGTGTACTAAGTTTCAAGTTTCAGGAATAAATAGGGCCCCTACTGAACTGCTTCCCTTCCAAGAAGATGCGACTACGATTACCCAGACCAAAATCTTTAACCTGATAAGGACAGACGAACAAAAACACAGAATATTGGACAGACTCACAGACTAGAAAACATAATACCCCTCTACTGTCATAGGTTACGTATGAAAATGTGCAAATATTAACTTTAAAGTGTATATAGTACTTACTCCTAAATGTTTACCGAAAACGTTTGTTAAAAAAAAATAAGCTCAAGATTATGTAGAAGTATTCTGTCAAAATGTTGTATTTGATGACAATGTTATTGCCAAACAAATTTATGACAAAGGGAGGATATTTACAAATGTCAGAAATCCTATAGGCTGTCTCATAATGACAATCAATATTGTGTCATGCAGCTGTTTATAACATCTATAGAATCTGTTAATCCTTTGTTTAGATTATTTTTCTGCTCTTTTCATGATGAAAACAATATTTTTTTATATCATATTCATTTGTTTATGAATTAATTGTCAAAGGGCAACAACACTTGAGTTACCACTGGGTTAAAGGTTTATTCAAGTTGACTAGTTTTACAACGTGTGAATAAAATGAGACGTGAGGACACTGTCCGACATACCTAAATGAGGCAGCAACAAACAATAAAAAGACAATCAGAGGTCAACACACTGTTCTATTCAATAGTTAGGTGTCTTTTCAATGACAAACTCTAAATTGTCACGAGTCTAGTTCTCAGAGATAAGTCTAGTTCAAAGGTTATAATGGTAAATGAAATACATTTGAAGTCAAATTTTAGCCCAGATAGATGATTTTGTCAAGGATGGATGTTTAACATCCAGTGGCAAATTAATTCAAGACAAGAACATGATAATATGAAATTAGTAAAGACTGTGTTTTGAACGAGACCAACACAGTGAGCCTGATTTTTCAACATGCCAGTTTTCAAGCTAACAGTCCTCAGGAAGACATGTCACCTAACCAGACACATTATTCTGATTCTTAGCACACCAGTCTTTGTCATACTCCTTAATTCTACGTGGAGCTTAGCTGAGAAGCAGCAAATACATATTTTAAATCTTTGGTTTGACCCAGTCGGGAACTGAACCTACAACTTTCTTCACTCAAAGGGAGAATGCATCCACAAGATTCTGTTAAGAGCTGAGCTAGGTGATAAAGGTAATAAAGACCAATGAATATCCACACTTTCTGAGAAGTTTATTGGATCTGACTTGAAAGATATATGAGATGTTGATTAAAATAAAATATATTCTTTCGCAAAGTTTGCAGATAACTGGAAAAAAATATTCAAAAACATTTCAATACATGTGCACAAGCTCATTTGTATTAATAAACTGTTAACACAGAGATATGTTTGGCCTGCATAATCTTATCACAAACTTTAACAAATGCTGTTGCTGCTGATGTCAGGACCAGCACATCTAATTTTTGCTTCTGAGACTTTTGTCACAGGTTAGAAAAAGCTATTGTATATTAGTTAGACAAAAATGTACCTCAAGTTTTCTCCACATGCGAGCCTTCTGTGCAACCTAGCCAAACACTACTATTAAATGTAGACATGTTAAGTTTAATGGCTTGGCCTTGAGGTTAACAGATTTTTAAAGATTTTAAGTTATTCTCAATGATACTGGAATATTCGAAAACCTCTAGTAGAAATTTTTTAAAACATGCTGTCCAAATCTATTGATCTTTGCTGATACAAATATACATGAATTGTTATGATCTGCAATACTTGAAGATAATTTTCTAGAATTATGGCTTTAATCATTCATTTTAGAACTGCAGAATTGCAGAAAAACTTATTTTCTTATAATACACAAGAAGAAATTGTGTTACTTTCACTATTTTTGTTTTTTTAATTATAATCTCTTACTTTCAAACCCTGGAATAGGTTTATTCAAATTAGATAAACAACAAACAGCTGTAGAAATAAGTCTAAAATATTTGAAATAATTAACTAATAAGAAAGGAAAAAAAGAATTATAATACAATTAATTTGTAACCATGATTTTTAGTTGACTACATATATTCTGAGGGAGTAAAATCTGGCTTTACTAACCAATCCCCTGAAATGCAATTTGCGACAGTAAAATAAATGACGTCAGAAAGTACAAAATTACAATACACTTATTCCTGAACTTAATCTTTACAATAGGCGGATCCAAGGGGGGGGGGGGCCTTGCCTCCCCCCCCTTTTGTGGGAAAAATTTGGTTGATTATATAGGGAATCACTGAAGCATGACTGGAGCGGCCCCCCCTTAGGTCAGTCAGCGGGCCCCCTCTTATGAAAAGTTCTGGATCCGCCACTGTTTAAATTAATAACATACCTGATTATGAAAATAAAATACAAATTCTTAGGTAAAAAAATATCCAAGGTACACGAAGTATGACAAATGCAGGCAATCTGCTTAAAATTAAAAAAAAGAAGGTTGAAATATGTAATCTCCAAAATTATAGCATTACCAATATCACTGAAAAAAGCTGAATCTAACTGAAGGCCGACATTTAAACTTTACATGTCTGAGTAAATGTGCATGGTTAACAGGACACACAGTACTTACAACAATTCATATCTGTAGATAAAATAAACAATAAAATGAAAGAAAATCTGTGGAAAAACGAAAACAGGAAGAATAATGCACAAGATTGACTGATGGTTGGTTGCTTAACGTCCAGTGGCAAATATTTCATGCATATTCAGGCTGAAAATGCATAAGAAATAAAATGTTCACTGTTTTCGTAGTAAATTATATCATACAACAAAACTTTTGATTTCCAAAACATCCAAGAAACTATGATAATTTTTTTATCTGTATAAAGATCTTCTAGTTTTCTAAAGACAGTACTGTGTATTCATAATTATCTTTTAGATACCAATTTTCACGGATTTTGTGGATATAGGTCAACCACAAATCTAAATTAAACGAAGTAAAATTTTCTATAGGCTTGAATGCAACACCAAGAAAACAAATATACAGGAAAATAAATTTTTTTCCTTAATTCACAAAAATTGGCACCAACGAATTTAAACGAATCTACAGTATATCCTTTACACAATAGGGACTAAAATAGTGATCCCAAATTGTTTGTGTTCTGCAAATTTAAAAGTTCAGTTGTAAAAAGAAAACAAACAATTGTGAAATTACAAAGTATAGAGTACCATGCATAGAAATAAATGAAACATAAAGCAGAGGAATAAAGCTGACTTTTTCATTTAACATTAAATTTTCTTTTGATTACAGAGCTTCATGATTCTCTCTCTTACTAATATGCCCCACAAAAACAGAAATAAATGAGGAGTTATACACAACAAATCTTTAGTCTCTTGAATATATTTTACTTCTAACCAGAAATTATATTAAAACACTCAATTTGAAAAAAGGAAAACTATTTTCATTTCTTATTTTCTTCAATTTTTTGTTTATGCAAAAATAAGCAATATAAAACCTACAAGAACCCAATCTACAAGATATACTCACTCCTTTAATAAGATCTTTCACTCCTTCATGCATTGACTGTGAGTAATGAGCTTTACAAGTCATGAATATCTGTTTTATTTCTAATATGGAGGTTCCTGTGTGAATATCAAACGGACGCTGAAAAATAAAAGCAAAATAGAATTTTAGTAGAAATTTAACAGTTTGTTCTAATGTTGAATTGTCACAACATTGTCCCAAGTTAAGAGGAAGAAAATGAGACCTCTTAAACTTATTTTATAATTTTGGTTCATTTACCCGGTATATGTTTCAGGGTTAAGTGTGGCGCTCATTCTGCTGAACTAGTATAAATTATTGATAAGGGGCCAGCTGAAGCCCTCCTTCAGGTGTGGGATTTTCTAGCTGCATTTAAGACCCATTAGTAGCCTTGGGCTACTTTCTGCACATTGGTCGGGTTTGACACATTCCCCCGTTTCTATTCTAAATTCTATATAACCATGCCAAATTGTTTATGTGCTAATTCCAAGTCAGGAGCCTGCAGTCCAGTGGTTGTCATTGGAGTTACCAATGACAACCACTGCCATCTACTGGTAATGTTATTTGGGGCCTTGCTGGCCAAGTTGTCTAAGTAGTTCATCTACTGTATCAATAGCCTGTCAACACTGAGGTTGTGAGTTTGATCAATCAAACTAATGGTCTTTTAAGCTGAAATTAAGCCACTGGTTTTCTCTTTTCAATTGTTTCAAAATTTGTTATACTATGGCCTTGTTTAACTTACTATAAGATGTGGATTTTGCTCATTATTGAAGTCCATACAGTGACATGAATTTGCTTACCAGTACTCAATTGTCCTTTCTAACCACATCTCCTTATTTCTATATTTCGGTATTTAATTGAAACTTATATCATTTGTTATTTACACAAATATACATTTATACAATGAAATTAATGAACATAAAACCAAGTAGGTAGTCATCTTCTGTTTTATATTAAAGTTCCAGTGACCTCATTAAGTAGTTTGAAAATAGGATAAACCAATTGTTTACTATTATTTTCTTTCCCTATTTAATTCTTTGTTAAATTAACATCTTTCTAAAAATTGTGCAGAATTTATCTTTGTTTCAAATAAAAAAATACTTGGCATGAGTAAAGCTTTATCCTGTCCAGTACTACAGTAAATATTTCACATCACATTTCATTGCATATAAGATAATAACCATAACCGGAAGTAAACCAATCAAATATTCACCCTTTTTTTTCTAGATGCCAAGTTTTAACCTCAAGTTTCCAAAATATTTCATAGAAATACCAAATAAAAAAAAAGAATGGTGCTTTGAAACACCCAAGATATATGTTTATGACTCAGAAATATTTTTCTCTAATGAATTGCAGGGTTAATTTCCTACAACTATCAAATTCAAGGGAATATTTTTTTTCGACCCTTTTTCGTATGAAACCGTGATGCACTATGGTTTGGTAGTTTTACACCTCTAACATATATAATGTAATTAAATTCTTTATTTATTTAAAGAGGATTACCAACAGCCAGAGGCTACGTGTGGGTCTCCTCAACATAGATATATAAAGATTCACAATTAACAGAGTTTTTTTTTTAACAAACACATTTAACACAAGACAAGACAATATGTACAAGACAAGACATAAGTATAATTGTAAATCCTTTTTGTGTGCAATTTAAGTTCTACAGTTTTACAAGAACAGGGTCAAAACCAATAATATCAATTTGACAATTTCTTTGTGAGAGGATAATAAGATTACCATTGCAACTTTAAATAATTACAGAAGCACCAATGATGCATCATATGCTGAAGTGCAATCTTTATGGATTTTCAGAAGAAACAAGAATTTTGTGTTCTGTTAATTGAAAACTGAATAGTCTGCTGAAAATTCATGTCAAATGGTGGAAAGCATAACATTTGTCCAAATTTCAGTCTATAACTTGCTGATGTAACCTAGACCTTTTGCTCTCATGGCCTAAAAATCAAAAGATGTATTTTCATCAAAGATAGGTAAAGATCTGATTTATGGCTCAAAAAATATTTTTACATTACAAAAGTATTCTAAAAATTTCAGTCTATTTGTAGATACTGTGACCTTGAGTTCTGACCCCTAAACCAATAGGAGTCTTACTCATCCAATTGGGCATCATCTAGCAAAGGGAAAAAATCTTTTTGGTTCAAGAATTTTTTTCAGAATCCAAAATGTTGACATGGAGTACGGGGCAGCCAGTCGGCATTCATCTGATTTCAAGCGGAGTTCAAATCATTCACAACTCTGCTAAATATATACCGGGGTATGCATTTTTCTGATTAAAACTTGTATCTCTTAAAGTTCATAAGAATCATCAAACTGGGTAAGTTACAATCTACTTTTCCTAACTAAAATAAATTTTAATGTTACAAAACAATAAAATTAAATTAACCCTAAATAGCAGTTGCTATAAAAGAATCTATATTTTTAAATTGCAATAGGCTACTTTCGAGTTCATTGCATTTTCGTCAAAAACTTTGGTTTAAGTGAACATCATTCGTGCATTTAGGGGCATCATCAATTCCTTCCCATGTTCAGCGAGCAGTTGAAAAAATATGATGCTATATTGCACGAATTATTCTGCAAATTAAATTCTTATAATTGATTATCAACACTGCTGTCATTAGGGAATTGTGATTAAGTACCTACGTAACAAAACATTATTTCTAGCTTATCCTGCATAATGATGATCACTAAGACCCTTGATGAACTTTAATAGTGCAGGGATACAGGCGGTCCCCTCTATCTGGTAAATGACATCATAAAGGTGCGCATAATTGATGAACTTTTCTAGTAAAGAACATAACTGGAAAGTGGTCTATTGTCACAGACATTGCAATTAGAAATTATGTCATTTACTTGTTTTTTTCTCATACTTTTTATATTTCTAATTTTCATTCCTTTAAATGAATAATTTCTATCCGTAATAGAAACCCCTAAGTTAAAATGATAATTCAATTTTATTCAAACAATCTAATTTCCTGTAGCATTAAATTAAATCATTGATCAATACATTAAATCAACAGATATTATATAACCAGGTTCTGATATAAATGATAAAATAATCAGATTTAAAAAATGTCATTATCTCAACAGCTTTCATGCTAAGTGAGTCAGTTCGCTAAATAAAAAACATTTCATACTTGGTAGGACTGTTTTTATAATAAATAGAATTACCCGTCCTTTCAACATTTCATAGGCACAAATTCCCAGCGACCACCAATCAACAGGATAACTGTAGCCAGGACACTCGTCTAAAGCACAGGCAAATACTTCTGGTGCTGTAAACAAAAATAAATCAACTAAATAAACAGGACGACTTAATAATAAATTATCTCTTACACTTGTGGCATGTTATCTATTTCTTGCATGAAGAGTATCACACTGCACATAGTGTGATACAAGAAAGTGATATGAAATCTGTATTAATTTGATTGGCTTATCCAGCATCATGAGACGATATTACGACATTTCCATTGGATTTTTGTTAGGTCCTTGATAACTTCCAAAGGTTATAATAAAACGATGTACATTTCGTGGGTATAGGTCATCCATGAATTTTAATGTTTAACGAAGTACAAATTCTGTATAGGCTATTATATATAATTTGCAAAAACCACAAAATTCAAAATCAACAAAAATATAACTTCTCCTCCATCCACAAAAATTGGTAACAACAAAACTAAATGAATCCACAGCATTTCATATTTTTCTACTCGTTACTGGCAACTACTGTACCTAAAGGAGAAAAACAATTGATCTCGTCCCTGGTTTCAGTTTTCCATTGATTAAGTACAAAACATTTCAGTTAGCAGTTAGTATGTTTTCCTGTCAGATATAATGGCTGCAATCTCCTTTAACCAAAAATTATTAGTTAATTAGGCAACTTTATTTCAAGATGTTGTGTATCTTTGCCCAACATTGAAGAGGAACCTTGTGATAGTCAATCCTTTCAAAATGAAAACTCAGTGCTCATGCACTGCTGGTAGGAAATATTTCAATCATGTTAATCAGATGGACCGATTGATGGTTGCTTGATTAACATCCTTAAGAACCAGACAGTATATGTTGTGCATGTGAGGATGCTTAATGCATAAATGTAATTATAGGGAGCTTATCTTTCCTAATGCTGATGAGTTGACATTGAGTACTTCTTAAAATGGATTTAAATCTAAGTGCAAATAAGGCACACATGTCTCAATGCTATGACATAGATCCATATAAGTACTCCTTCTTTTTTATTTCAGCTTTCTGTTCAGTTATCTCATTCTATGAAAACAATTGACTTTTTAAAGTTCAATATGTTTCTTCATAATATAAAGGTCAATCAAATTATAAATTTTAACACATCTGGATCTATGACAAATCTAAGATTTATCAACCTTTAAAACAAATCAGAAAATTCCCTTTAGGTCACTCAGGAGAGATCACATAGAGTACATTCTAGAAATATGCTGGGTGGGTGGACAGACACATGAATCACATTTTAAAATTTTCACATCAATTTTAAAGTAATAACCTTGACCTAATTCCATTTCCCCAACCTTATTTGATTAAGTTATTTCCATTATATATGCACTTTAGCTCATTTCACAGTCTTCTGCGGCCTTGCACAGTCAACTTTATCCCTAAATGAATCATCACCTAACTTTTTAGTTCTATAAGTCTACATAGGATTGTACAATGGTTAAAACGATTGAAAGGATCTGCACATTAGGTAATATTGTGGCATAAGCCTTTGACATGTGTTAACCAATTTTCATACAAATGATCAATTCTATGTTGTTTTTAGTTAACATTGTGGCATAAGCCTTTGACATGTGTTAACCAATTTTCATACAAATGATCAATTCTATGTTGTTTTTAGTTAACATTGTGGCATAAGCCTTTGACATGTGTTAACCAATTTTCATACAAATGATCAATTCTATGTTGTTTTTAGTTAACATTGTGGCATAAGCCTTTGACATGTGTTAACCAATTGTCATACAAATAATCAATTCTATGTTGTTTTTATTCAGGTTTTTAAAAAAGAATAACAAGACATACGTTAAAACCATAACGGCTCTGATAGAAACTCTGGTGACTCAAGTAAGTCAGAAGAGGCATGCTATGACCTGAGTAATACTGATTTTAAAGTGTTATGAATTGAGAAATACTGACTTCAATATCCAACCAATTTTTGAATTAGCTTTTGATAAAATCTGAATTGAATAATTCAAGAAAATTGGTTTACAGATAAGGGTTTCTATTGTAAACTGAAGTCAGATCAAAAATTTGGTTCAATTTTGTTTTTGAAAAAAAATTATAAAGGCAGCAATGAAAACAACAGTGATTACGTCGACATGAGAAAAAAGCTTTTGTTTCAAATGATGCACCTCACAAAACAAATGCATGCAGCAAGCCATATACTGATGGTAGAAACAACTACTGAAAGAAAATTCTACAGATACAACACAAAAAAAAAAAAAAAGGAAATTTATAAATTCTACAAAAAAGCCCATTTTCAACTTTTTATTCCACAAGCTTTACTGATGCAGTGTAATATAAACGACACTAATTTGCCAATGTGAATCCAAACATTTTTCTATATTCAGAAGCACATAATAAAGACTGCACAATTTACTTGAAAATGTACTTTTTTTTAAGTCTTTATTATAGTTGGGGGCTTCAGTGGCCTAGTGATCTAGACAGTTAATCTACACTGATCATTAATCTGTCAACGTTGAGGTTATGAGTTCAAACTCCGCTTGTGGCTGGTGCATTTGACTCTCATCTTAATTTAATAGGAACTTTCCCTTCCTCCACCAAAAAAAACTGGCTGCCATGAAATAGCCAAGAGTGCTTAAAGTGGCTATATAAACACCAATAATCAATCAAGCAATAGTTGATGGTCATTTCAAAGCTATGTCCACTACCTCTTTAATTAATTCAAACAAGTCTTTCAAACCAGGTATAACCCCTCCCATTTTAACAGATAAATTTTGTATCTTCTTGACATTTTCAATTCTACTGTTTTAAACAAGTGCAGAACATAAATCACACACAGCAAAATTGTCTATAGAACATTGACAGAAAACCAGATTTATAACAAAGCGTAATTTGACATGATTACTGTAGCTATTTGTAATGCTTCGAGATATTAACAGGATATCAATATTCTGTCACGTTAAAAATTAACTTTCATAACTCAATCAATACACGTTGTTACACAAATTGTGATAGGAAAATAAATATAACTAAAAATACTGACCTAAAGTCTAATTTCATACTTATCTTTTTTAAAGAATTCAAGGTTCTTAGCTTATAGTTGTTTTTATGTTAACGTTATTGAAGTAACCAATTTTAATAACAGAAATCCATGAATAACATTAAACACCGATTCTATATAAAACATACTCCTACATATTTCTCTTTATGTCAGCTTCACAGAAGCTTAAATTGCAAAAATTAGTTGTAACATTGTCTAACAATTAATACTCCAAAATAAAAAGCTTGGAAGATTTCTTTTCTGTAACACGAGATTGCTTTGACCAAATAAGTAACTTTGTTTGAGATAAGCAACATAAACAAGAGGCTCCAAGAATCCTGTATCGCTCACCTGGCATTTTTGCTAAAGAAAATATGATACAATGCACAAGATTATGTATGTTGAATTGAAACTATGCGAGTCAAAAACTGTCACGCTGTTCATTTTTGCTGGACAATGTTTCTGTATATCCATTTTAGTTTAAAAGATTATAAGCAGAAACAGAAAATAAAATTTGATACAATTGTGATTTAGGGGTAACAAATTATGAAAGGAGTCTATTGACAATTTCATTCCTATTGACTTGTTTGTAGATCTTATGTTGCTGATCATTTTAGCTGTTCTAAGTTTTAGTATATCAATTATAGTTTAAGCTGTTAAGTAAAAACACTCAAATTGGTGAAATATCTTCATTTTACGGCAATAACTCCTAAAACAAGTTAACAATTTAAATCAATGTTATTATTTGTATATCTAATTTTGCTGACCCTTTTTGCTTTCACAGTTTCTCTCAATCTCTCATAAGTTTCTGCAAAAGAGCAAAAACTGTCTTTCAAGGACAATAACTTATATAAGGGGTTAGTTGACTATTTCTGCCATGTTGACAGATTTGTAGATCTTATTGTTCAGGTAAATTCCAATTTTCAAAGTTTCTCTATCTATAATAGTTTTCGAGATAATCGCCAAAAACTGTGAAATTTGCAAAAAACAGACATTTCTGGGACAGTTTTTCAAAAATTGGTAGTCTGATTTTTGAGAAAATTCATAGTAGATAGTATTTGACCTATTTATCCTTTTTATCCATTTCAGTTTGCTCTAACTGCTTAAGTTTTTAAGAAAAATGCCAAAAATTGCAGTTAACCTGATATTTTTGAAAAACAGTAACCATGTATGTTGATGGATTGAATCCCTGGACACAATTTGTAAACTGGATTGCCTAAGGAACTTCAGGTAAATTTTGGTATCATTTGGCCTAGCAGTTTCAAAGAAGAAGATTTTTCAAGTTTACAACTTTGAACGACTGATGCCAAGTCATGGCAATAGCTCACATGGCCATTTGGGCCAGGTGAGCTAACAAAATATCTTGGCCAGGTGAGCTAATAAACTGCTTCGCTGAGCAGCTGGATATGACCGCAGAGGTCCAACCCTGAACAGTTGGGGCAAAAATGGACACAATATTCAAGCTTGATACAGGTCTGAATTTGGATTGCAATTAAATATTTGACACATTATAGGTTTCTGACACAGAATAAATGTAGTCAAAGAACTTGAAATTGGTTATATGATTTGAATTTATATTCAATTGAAGATTTCTTGATTTTGTGCAATATACTGTGCTGTTGCGCAATACTTAGTAAATCTGTTTTCAGACTATATACAAAGAATTAGCAAAATAATTTTTTTTTTGGCCCCTAATTCCTAAACCCATCACCCCCAAAAACAATCCCAACCTTCCTTTTGTGGTATTGAACCTTTTGGTTAAATTTCATAGAGATCCATACACTTAAACTAAAGTTATTGTCCGGAAACCAAATGTCTTCGGACAACGACGACTCTGACAAGGACGTGATAGCAATATACGACCCCAAAATTCTTTTGCGGTCGTATAAAAACATATAATGTGAATGATACAACATTTTTTTTAATAACTTTATCAGGTATGCTAGTGACCAAAAATTTGAAAAACTCAAAAGTATAAGATGTTAAAGTGCACTAAAGCCACAAAGGCATAAACAATAGAATCTGAAAACATGAAGCAGATGTCAGACAGATCCACTCACACCTACAACTCATGACTGTCAAGCTACTGACCAAAGCATTCTGTTTAGCAGTACCTGAGAAAGGGTGACAGAAAAAATTGTTGGACAAACGAATCAACCTACAGATGGTTGGGGAAGGCAAATGCAATATAGCACTCACTCGTAGATATATAAATATAGTGGGATATATATAACAGGATATGACAAACTTACCCATATAAGGTGTTGTTCCCGACATGGAGGTCGCCAACTGTCCTTCACTTAACATAGTAGCTATGTTGAAATCTGTAATATGCACATGACCTACAAAAATAAATTAGATCTTTTGTGACAATGTGAACTCACGGGTTTTGCTCATTGTTGAAGGCCTTACGGTGACCTATAGTTGGTAACTTCAATGTCATTTGGTCTCTGGTGGAGAGTTGTCTCATTGGCAATCATACCACATCTTTTCTTTTATAATTATATTTACCTGTAAAACTTATTTTTATGTGAGAAACAAAAAAAAGTTCATATTTTCAATAGCTAAAACCTATTTAATTTTCAGGCATATCAGAACGAAACTATCTATAATTAATACAAAATGTAGGCTCTGCGGTCAATGATAAGTATTATCTAAACAAAAGAAGAAGCGGGGTAAAATGCCATCGAGACATCAACCCAATTATACATTAAGAGGTATTCAACAATGGATAATCATCCATATCATATATCATATTGTGGTTGTGTTTTATTTTCCTGTTAACTAATTCTTCCGTGGGAGTGATTGATCTGTGTTTTTACAAATTATAGCAAGATCTATTCTTTAGGTAAAAACTTAGAATATATATATATTGCAGACAGATGATGTAAATAAATTAGATGCCCAAAAGGACCCTGTATTTCTAACTGTATATAAAAAGTAAGATTCCCTGCATGTGTTATTGCCATTGCATTTTCTATAAATGGAAAAAGCATAAGTACCGGTATTCTTTGTAATCAGTCTAATAGTTTTGAAACCATTTTGGATTTTTGGTATCGACACTGAAACTTTAATTAAGCTGATAAAAGATTTGGTAGGTGGAAAAACCTCTATTCTTCAGAAAATTTTGTACAAATTATGCAAAATTGAAAATATAAGGCTGGAAACCTATCTGAGAGTTGGTTGATCGTTATATCTGTTTCACAGATGATGACGGATATGTTTCAATTGTAGTTATTACAATCTATCATCTTTTCCTTGAATGTGACCCACAGAATTAGACTTATCACTTACATGAGCAACACGACCAGTGCCACACTTCAGCACCTGAGATCACCCCATGTTTTTGGGGTCTCGTTCTGATCCCGGATCCCGCTTATTATTTTGTCAGATTCCCGTATCCCGCTTACACTATTTACGTAAGCAATTCTCATTTTTTGGTAATTTCCCGTGTCCCGCTAGACTTCATTTCCCGTTTTCACGACACAATAATTTGACTTTCACGTGTCACGCTTACAAAAAATCGGCAATCACGCTTAGACCCCAATGAGACCCACTTTGGTGGGGTTCATGTAGCTCAGTCCTTAGTTTTCTATGTTGTTTTTGTGTACTGTTGTTTGTCTTTTCATTGTTTTTTGTTTTTTGGCCATGGCATTGTCAGTTTGTTTTCGACTTGTGAGTTTGAATATCACTAAATGCCATCAAATGGGGTAAATGCCATCAAGACAGCAACCCAATTATTCATAAAGAGGTATTCAACAATGGATAATCATCAATATCATATATCATATTGTGGTGGTGTTCTATTTCACTGATAAGTAATTCTTCTGTGGGAGTGATTGATCCATGTAGTAACAAATTATAGCAAGATCTAAATATAGGAAAAACTTAAATGTATATATATTGCAGATGATGTACATAAATTAGATGCCTGGTTTCTTTCGCCTCGCTTTTCCCTTTTGTATGCCCCAAGTAATTTCCCTATTAAAGTTTCAGGGTTGATAACAATTTATATATATATGACTGAAGCTTTAAACATTTCACTTGCTGTTTTTTATTAAATGTACCTAAATGACATGTATGACAGATACAAAACGTGTCAGTTATTTTGATGAAAGTGCAAAAATTGACATTATATTCGTCATGGTTTCAACAAAATATTAAATGCATTTATTTAATGACTTCCTGAATGAATATAAAGCATGCTATTAAGCTTAAAATCTTTTTTACTGGATTACATAAATAACAGGTTTCTACTTTCAGTTGGACAGAACATTATTCAATTACGTTCAATTATTAATGAAATTTACATTAAATTATAAAACATTTCCTTGTTCAACTTGAGTTTCATTGTCACACCAATTAATTGAAGGTGACCTAATTTTCAATCAATTGTTATGTACTTTTCCAAAAACATGTTCATTCAACTGATCTTACTGAAGGCAGAAACAAGAAACGTGCTTGAAACTCCATTGAGAATTCCCCACTCATAGTTAATATTTGTTGTGATATATGGACACATATTTTAAAAGGGTTCAGTAAACAAAGGTCTCTATTACTTCTGTATCCCAGAAGTGTGACTTACAATAGAACTTTGACATACGGTAACTAGAAAACTGACATGTTAGCAAGGGCCCCACTTGCACATTTATATGTGAGGCAAAGAGACTGATGCATACAAAGCAAATGTTCATAAGTTATCAATATTCATAAATTTGGACACCAGCAAATAATTCAGCATGTGTTCTCGATTAATAAATGTTTTGTTAAAATCCAAGCACTATGTATTTTAGCGGGGCTGGGCATTTTCGTAAATGGTGGGCAACCAATAATTTTGACACAGAGAATGATTTCATAATACATGTAGCAAATAATACCCTTTTCATTTAAATCCTAGCAAAAAATAGGATTCTCAGAATTTCTCATTTTTTTTAACAAAAACTGAGTTTTTATCAGAATTTTGACCTGACTTGTGCAAAATTTCATTGACCTCCTATCTATACTTTTGGAGTTTTAGTGCTTACAAAAATTATTGACAGATGGACAAAGTGAAAAATATAGGGCTCCCGCATCCACGATGTTGGGCCTTTAAAGTTGGATAAAGTACTACTAATAAATTTTACTTGAACCAGCTTGGTTTACATAAATATGTTAATATGGCATTTCCTATTATAGAAAACTGGGGTCACTACTCCAAAACTGCTCAATAATGTTTTGTAACAAATTGAAAATATCAGTATGACAATTTTGCCTTTCCTTGCATTAGACATAGCCAATTTAGCATATCTATTGTTGTTGCATTAATGGAGCACATAAGGTGCTGAAAATAGCTTTTAGTGGGAGGCAGATAAAGTTGTAGGGCAAAAATATTTCTAAGATTTAAAAACTTTGAAATTTTCAGACAATTACAAAATAAATAGAACATTTTATAACAAACAGGGTTTTTAACTATTTCATTATTTTTCAATTAGTAGACTTACATTTTATGGAATGTTAGGATATATACTAACTATTGGTGAACCTACACTCCTTTGAAGTAATCTGGCGTAGAAAAAAACGGCAAAATATTTTTTTTTTATATTTGTTTTCAAATTTGGTAGCAACAGCCATATAACTGAACACTTTTCTACGCCTTTAAATCTCATCCAATTTTGCTGTTTGACATTTTCTCATGCCACAAAAAAGCACTTATATAGTGCAGACTGACCTACAATCATATAAAATCTAACGACCACTTGCTGTGACATTACCTTCTTCATCCAGTAATATGTTGTCAGGCTTTATATCTCTGAAAATAGAAAAATGTTCTAAAAATGTCCGTTGATCAATACAAACTGAACCGCCAGTGGTAATATCTTTCAAAATCCAGTGCTTGTATGTAGACATGATATTTATGGAATATTTAATGAAATCTTAGGAAAAAAGATAAGAGACATTTCACAATACAAGTTAAATTATGCAAATAAAATAACAATACTTTTAGATCAATTATTGAAAATACATCACTTAAGCCTCTCAACAAGATACTACAGTGAACGTGTTATTTAGTAATGGTATAATCAGTGAATAAACTGGTCATGTCCATAAGCAATAAATATAGCAAAATCCAGATTCAGAAACAGCAGTGACTCATTTCACAAAAATTTTACGAGCAAAAATACTCGTAAATCATGAACATTTCAGTATAACAATTCTTATCGTAGTATAATCAATTTTTTATCGTAAGACATTTTGTGAAAAGAGCCCTACTGATGTAAGAATATTTTCCATTGCCAATGAGACAATCATCCAACAGAAACCCAATAACATAGATGTAAGCAACTATAGGTGACTGTATGCCACCTTCAGCAATGAGCAAACCCGATACCGCACATGTTGTTATACATCAATGAGACAGTAACCCAATGTAATAAAAAAAAAAGCATTTAAGTCTCAACACAAACAAGAATGTGAAGCTGTAAATCAGCCCGTCTAAAAAAGTTGTGAAAAATTTAGAGACTATAATTTCAAGATCTGCCATCATAACCTTATTTCTTAAATGATCCAAAAACAAGTAATTACTTGAATCTGAAATAATTTTGAATTCTGGAAATTTATAAGAAATGTATGAAGAAAACTAACACCATTTAGGAGGGTTAGCCATGCATGCATGGCTAAAGGGGGTGAGTTAGTTCATACTTAAATATAAACAAATTTACTCATAATATTGAGAGATCTGACATTTCATCTTAAATCAGCAACACTGTAGGAAATAGAAGTATCATACCTTTATACTGCTTTCACATAAGTATAAAGGAATAAATGTAACTAGATCAACCACTTTGCTAGTTTGTTCTGAAGTTACTTTTCAATAAAATTGAGAATGGAAATGGGGAATGTGCCAAACAGACAACAACCCGACCAAAGAGCAGAAAACATCAATATCTTGTTCTACAGTACAACTTGTTTTAGAAAACTTCATAGCTAGCCACACATTATGCTCAGGAGAAACTTTGAAACATTATAAAGAATGTATCAAGCAAGTTCTGATGGAATGAACTTATCCACAGTTAAAATACTGCAAAGCAGCTTATGTTCACAGATACTGTGGATTCATTTATTTTATAGGATACCAAAACTTCATGGATTAAGGAAAAATTGTATTTTCATGTATATTAGATTTCGTTGTTTTACAAAAATTTCCATAAAAGCCTATAATAAATTTGTATTTTTTTTAACTTTTAAAATCGTGGTTCACATGTGCCCATGAAATCCCTGAAAATTGGTATCCAACAAATAATAGTGATTTTTTTTTTTGCTATATTCTTACTTCGTTGATGTGTTCATATTTGAGAAGATCCAAGATTGACACATTTTCAGGTCATAATCACGTTATTTTCCTACTCACGAAAGTCTCTTAATAACAAAATTAAAAATCGGTTGGTTTACAGTATAAAAGACAACATCAAAACTGCATTCCTCTGAATAAAAGACAAGGACGAACAATAAATGTTCCACATACGATAGCCTTGAAACGATTTTATACAGGAAAAAGGAGTGCTGACATCAATGACGAATCATCTATACTAATTTGACAAAAGTGCCACAAAATGGTAATATCTAATAAAAAAATACCGGTAAAAATACAACAGTAAAAGAAACGTTATTAATTGAATAGAATGATGTATACGAATGAATCAATATCCAATTCTAGCCCAGTACTGAGTTAACCGTATAATATCGAGAATTCAGTATCTTTGACATAAAAGAAAATCATTCCCATTGACAAATTATTGATACTATGATTATACTGTGTCATTGAGAATGACATAAATTCAAAGTCAAGATCGTAATACAGTGATTATACTGAAGTTAATTTGTTTGCCGCCTAGTGTTTACTTTGTATAGTATAGATCCAGAAATAAATGTTACGATAAACAAGCTTGACGTAATAGCTTTACGATTCTTAACAACTATTAATGTAGTTTACTATATTTTTCATTTCTTGTAAGTGAACCTTGAGTAGAAATTTCTAAGAACAACCACAAAGGATGTCATCCTACTTATTGAGTTCATTTTTAAAAGCATCAGAAGAGTAGATAAGCTAATTAGAACTTTAGCTGAAAAATAACAGAAAGCTAGAAGCTAAATAAAGTTTATAAATGCATATGAAATATTCAAGCTGATATTGTTCTTTTGGAAATTCGCCAAATCACATCTCTCTGATACTACATGGTATTCTTTGAATTACTATAAGCAGTCATGATGCTTAATCATCGAACCAAACACTACAAAAAGTAGAAAGGCTGTGGGATTAATGCCTGTTATATAAAAGGACTATGATCAAGTCTCTCTGATACTACATCGTATTCTTTAAATTACTGTAAGCAGTCATGATGCTAAATCATGGAACCAAAAACTATAGAAAGTAGAAAGGCGGCGGGATTAATGCCTGTTATATAAAAGGACTATGATCAAGTCTAATTTTTACCCATAATTATGACTTTTTTTAATTCCACCAAGTTGAAGTATTTTGACCCAAGGAAATAATATGCTTGTATCATCACGAAAATTATAAAACCATGCACAAAATAAAAACAGGACAGCAATTTCATGCCTATAACATGACTATTGTTCATGCCTTGATTTTCTTTTATGAATGGTATTGTTTGTCTATTTTTTACTTGTAGCTCTTCTTTATTTCTTATTCCAGGCTTTTTGCTTTTTGAAGAGTTTTTTTTTTTCATATTTATAGCCTTTAGAAGTACTTTTCTTATTTCAGACTTTTTGAAGTGCTGTTTCTTTTTTAAGGCTTTTAGAAGTGCTGTTTCTTTTTTTAGGCTTTTTGTAGTGATGTTTCTTATTTTCAGGCTTTTTGAAGTGTTGTTTCTTATTTCCTTCATTTTAAAGTGCTGTTACTTATTTCAGGTTTTTCTTAAATGATGTTTCTTATCTAAGGCTTTTTGAAGTGCTGTTTCTTATTTCAGGCTTTTTGAAGTTCTGTTTCTTCATATCTCTTTTTCGTAAATTGTTTTGTTATAAATTAAGCCATTAGTTTTCTCAATTGAATTGTTTCATATTTTTCATGTCGGGGCCTTTTAAAGCCGACTATCCGGTATGGGTTTTCCCATTGTTGAAGGCCGTGTGGTTGCCTATAACTGCTTACGTCCACTTCATTTGAACTTTAGTGGATAGCTGTCTCATTGGCAATCATATCACATCTTATTTTTATATTATTTCAGGCTGTCTGAAGTGCTGTTTTTTATTTCAGGCTGTCTGAAGTGCTGTTTTTTATTTCAGGCTGTCTGATGTGCAGTTTTTTATATCAGGCTGTCTGATGTGCTGTTCCTTATTTCAGGCTGTCTGAAGTGGTGTTTCTTATTGCAGTTTTTTGTAAGTGCCAGATCTTAATTTATGCTTTTTAAAGTGCTGTTTCTTATTTCAGGCTTTTTGAAGTGCTGTTTTTTTTATTTCAGGCTGTCTGAAGTGATTTTTTTTTTTTATTTCAGGCTGTCTGAAGTGCTGTTTCTTATTTCAGGCTTTTTGAAATGCTGTTTTTTTTTTATTTCAGGCTGTCTGAAGTGCTGTTTCTTATTTCAGGCTTTTTTTAATGCTGTTTCTAATTTCAGACTGTCTGAAGTGCTGATTCTTATTTCAGTTTTTTTAAATGCTGTTCTTATTTCAGGCTTTTTGAAGTGCTGTTTCTTATTTCATGTTTTTTTTAAATGGTGTTTCTTATTTCATGCTTTTTTTTTTAATGGTGTTTCTTATTTCAGGTTTTTGTAAGTGCCCGATCTTTAATCATGCTATAAGAAGTGCTGCTTCTTAATTCAGGCTGTCTGAAGTGCTGTTTCTTATTTCAGGCTTTTTTTAATGCTGTTTCTAATTTCAGACTGTCTGAAGTGCTGATTCTTATTTCAGTTTTTTTTAAATGCTGTTCTTATTTCAGGCTTTTTGAAGTGCTGTTTCTTATTTCATGTTTTTTTTTAAATGGTGTTTCTTATTTCATGCTTTTTTTTTTAATGGTGTTTCTTATTTCATGCTTTTTTTTTTAATGGTGTTTCTTATTTCAGGTTTTTGTAAGTGCCCAATCTCTAATCATGCTATAAGAAGTGCTGCTTCTTAATTCAGGCTGTCTGAAGTGCTGTTTCTTATTTCAGCTGTCTGAAGTGATGTTTCTTATTTCAGACTGTCTGAAGTGCTGTTTCTTATTTCAGGTTTGTTTAAATGCTGTTTCTTATTTCAGGTTTTTGTAAGTGCCAGATCTTAATTCAGGCTTTTTGAAGTGCTGTTGTTTTAATTCAGTTTTTTAAGTGATGTTTCTTTTTTCAGGCTTTCTGAAGTGTTATCTAGAAAAAAACAACAATTTGCATGCATTGTTTGCCAAGTATAACCCACTTCTTATTAGATATTTCCATGGTCAGTGGGTACAATAAAGATTTAAAGTTACATTACAATTGAACAAGAAGTGACTGCTGTCAGCCTAGCAGATTTGAAAAATCCTTACCACAGTGATATGTAGTGAAAGTTATTGTTGGACACACAGACTGACAGACAAAATGACAAGGTGATTGAAGATTACCACCTAATCTATGAGTGGGAAGATAATAATCTCTTACACACTTATTTTAATCTGAGTACAAAAAAAATGTATTAAAATAAGTTAAAATACATAAAAATGTATTAAAATATAAATAGTGTATGTAGTTTTTTGATCCATTAAAAGTTGTCTTTCTTTAGAATACAATTTGTCTCATATTAGTCAAATTAAACATTATTTACTCCTTTCTGGATAAATTTTTCAGTATC